ACTCCAACTCCCACAACATGGATATGCAGATGATCCAGCGCTCGTCCCCGCCCTGCCCCTTCTTCTCCCTTCTGTTGGCGTCCAGGGAGGGAGGGAGGGAGGGAGGGAGGGAGAGGAGGAAGGAAGGAGGGCCCATGCATGGAAAGGCACTCCATGGCGAGGCTTCTCTTCCTTCAGAATGGTTGGTGCATAAGTCTTCTCGCGTGCTGTGGAGAGGGCCTTTTGCGCTTACTCAGTTAGGTATTTTTTTTTGGGGGGGGGGATATTAAAGTCATTTCCCCTTCATTTTTTAAGATTTTTTTGTTTGGAAGACATAGATCGGATTAGAATGTGTTTTGCTGCCAAATTTGGTGTCAATGTGTCCAGGGGTTCTTGAGTTCTGTGAATACCACAAACGAACATTACATTTTTATTTATATAGATTAAAACTTAGGACATCCTGCAGCACATTTTGCTGTAGTGATGTATCTCATAGAGCAGTGTTTCTCAACCTTCCTAATGCCGTGACACTTGAATAGAGTTTCCTCATGTTGTGGTGATCCCCAACCATAACATTATTTTCATTTCTACTTCATAACTCTTCTCTTTCTCCCTGGGATTTGACCATGGAGGGACCACTCCACCCCTCTCTAAGTCCTGCCCTGCCCCCAGGCCCCTGCTCCCTCACCTCCACCTTCACTTCCTCCTCCACCACCTCCACTTCTTCTTCCACCTTTCACTTCCCTCTTGGCTCCAAAGCGGGGTTGAATGACACCACCACCTCCCTCTGGAGAAGAACAAGATGCCTCTGGGAAGCAAAGGGGGTAGGAAAAAGTTTGCTGTGTCTCTGTTCCTAAGACCATAGGAAATATGTGTTTTCCAATGGTCTTAGGAGACCCCTGTAAAGGGATGTATGACCCCCAAAATGTCTGCGACCCACAGACTGAGAACCGCCTTAACCCATTCAACATACTGTATATCAGGGGTCCACAAACTTTTTAAACAGAGGGCCAGGTACAGTCCCTCAAACTGTTGGAGGGCCGGATTATAATTTGAAAAAATGAATGAATTCCTAGTCACACTGCACATATCTTATTTGTAGTGCAAAAAACACTTAAAACAATACAATAATTAAAATGAATAACAATTTTAAGAAATATAATTTAACTGATTTACGAGGCCATAAAAATATCCAGGAAGTATGCAAAGAATGAGGAAGTACTTCATCAATGTCACAAACGGAAGTGACAGCTCCCCTGGTGGCCAGAAGCTGGAATGTTAAATAGCCTCTGAGTGTCTGTCTATATATGTTATGTGTCTATGGCATTGAATGTTTGCCATGTATATATACATTGTAATCCACCCTGAGTCCCCTGCGGGGTGAGAAGGGTGGAATATAAATACTGTAAATAATAAATAAATAAATAAATAAATTAGTATTTCAGTGGGAAATGTGGGCCTACTTTTGGCTGATGAGATAGGTTGTTGTTGTTGTTGTTGTGTGCTTTCTAATCGTTTCAGACAGGTTGACCCTGAGCGAGGGCCAGGTAAATGACCTTGGAGGGCCGTATCCAGCCCCCGGGCCTTAGTTTGAGGACCCCTGCTGTATATACTCGAGTATAAGCCGACCCAAATATAAGCTGAGGCACTAATTTAACCACAAAAAACTGGGAAAATGTATTGACTCGACTATAAGCCGAGGGTGGGAATTGCAGGCACTATGGGTAAATTTCAAAATAAAAATAGATAACTAATAAAATTACATTAATTGAGGCATCAGGAGGTGAAATGTTTTTGAATATTTACATAAGACTGTAATTTAAGATAAGACTGCCCAACTCTGATTAAATCATTATTCTAACCTTCTTTAATGTAAACATACGTATCCTTCCAACAATAATAAAGAGAGTAAAATAATAAATATAATAATAATAGAGTAAAATCATGGAAATGCAATTATAACAGCAATAATAGAGTAAAATAATAAATGCAATAATCTGTATAAATAAAAATGTAATGTTCGTTTGTGGGATTAACAGAACTCAAAAACCACTGGACGAATTGACACCAAATTTGGACACAAGACACCTAACAACCCAATGTATGTCCATCACTCAAAAAAAATTGATTTTGTCATTTGGGAGTTGTAGTTACCGGGATTTATAGTTCACCTAACATCAAAGAGCATTCTGAACCCCACCAACGATGGAATTGAACCAAACTTGGCACACAGTTCTCCCATGACCAGCAGAAAATACTGGAAGGGTTTGGTGGGCAGTGTCCTTTGTTTTTGGAGTTGTAGTTCACCTACATCCAGAGATCACTGTGGACTCAAACAATGATGGATCTGGACCAAACTCTGCACGAATATGCTTTATGCCCAAATGTGAACACTGGTGGAGTTTGGGGAAAATAGAATCTTAACATTTGGGAGTTGTAGTTGCTGGGTTTTATAGTTCACCCACAATCACAGAGCATTCTGAACCCCATCAGTGATAGAATTGAGCCAAACCTCCCACACGGAACCCTCGTGGGCCACAGCAACGCATGGCAGGGGACGGCTAGTAATAAAATAAATTAATAAATGTAATAATAATAATAATAAATAGAGTAAAATAATAAATGTAATAATAATAGGGTAAATACTGTAAATGTAATAATAGTAATAAATAGTGTAAAATAAATGTAATAAATAAAAATAATGCTAATAACAGAGAAAAATCATAAATAACCTTGACTCCAGTAAAAGCCAAAGGGAGCTTTTTCAGCCTAAAAAAGGGGCTGAAAAACTAGGCTTATACTCGAGTATTTACAGTAGATCGTGGAAACAAATTTTCTGTAGTAGAACAACAACTTTCAAAGTAAGGGACCACACAATTATACAAGGAATAGTACTTTTAAACCAGGAACAGATTTTTTCCCCCCAAATTTTGTAACATAGTGTAATGGAACCAGGGAATTGTCTATTGCCTCTCCCTGGTTATTCCTAGTTTTGTTGAGTGGGGTGCCATCAGGAGAGGACGAAGACATATCTTCTCTCATTATGTCTAATGTTTCATAATCCCATTAGTATAATAATCATAATAACAATAATAAACGATTACCTGCCTCTCCTGATGGTTCGAGGCGGGGAACAAATCAAAAACATATGAACATAAACAAAATATAGATATCAAATTACATAAATAGAAAAACAAAAATATAAAACATGGTGCCAGACAATTAGGTCGTTGTGTATCCTTGGGGCCCTGTTTGGTGGGGCCTCGTGGAACAGTTCTGTTGGCTGAGAATATTGGGTATTTATTTCTCGTGTCAGGGCAGCCAGTCAATTATATTACATTTCTAACAGAACAAAGCAAACAAACAGAGAAAATACAAAATTTGTGAGTTTGGTAGTTGATTAAATGTTCTTTGACCAGTATCTGGCCACTTGGAGTGCTTCTGGTGTTGCTGCAAGGTGGTCCTCCATTGTGCATGTGGCTGAGCTCAGGTTGCATTGCAGCAGGTGGTCTGTGGATTGCTCCTCTCCGCACTCGCATGTCGAGGATTCCACTTTGTAGCCCCATTTCTGAAGGTTGGGTCTGCATCTCGTGGTGCCAGAGCGCAGTCTGTTCAGCGCCTTCCAAGTTGCCCAGTCTTCTGTGTGCCCAGGAGGGAGTCTCTCATTTGGTATCAACCATTGGTGAGGTTCTGGGTTTGAGCCTGCCACTTTTGGACTCTCGCTTGCTGAGGTGTTCCAGCAAGTGTCTCTGTAGATCTTAGAAAACTATGTCTGGATTTAAGTCGTTGACGTGCTGGCTGATACCCAAACAGGGATGAGCTGGAGATGTCTCTGCCTTGGTCCTTTCACTATTGGCTGCCACTTCCCGGCAGATGTCAGGTGGTGCAATACCGGCTAAGCAGTGTAATTTCTCCAGTGGTGTAGGGCGCAGACACCCTGTGATAATGCGGCATGTCTCATTAAGAGCCACATCCACTGTTTTAGCGTGGTGAGATGTGTTCCACACTGGGCATGCATACTCAGCAGCAGAGTAGCATAGCGCAAGGGCAGATGTCTTCACTGTATCTGGTTGTGATCCCCAGGTTGTGCCAGTCAGCTTTCGTATGATATTGTTTCTAGCACCCACTTTTTGCTTGATGTTCAGGCAGTGCTTCTTGTAGGTCAGAGCACAGTCCAGAGTGACTCCCGGTATTTGGGTGCGCTGCAATGCTCCAGTGGGATTCCTTCCCAGGTGATCTTCAGAGCTCGGGATGCTTCTCTGTTCTTGAGATGAAAGGCACATGCCTGTCTTTTAGATGGGTTGGGGATCAGCTGGTTTTCCCTGTAATAGGCAGTAAGAGCACCTAGAGCTTCGGAAAGCTTCTGTTCAACCATCTCAAAACTCCCTGCTTGAGCAGTAATGGCACGATTATCAGCATAGATGAAGCTCTCTGTCCTTTCTGGCAGTGGCTGGTCATTTGTGTAGATGTTGAACATGGATGGAGCAAGCACGCTCCCCTGAGGCAGGCGGTTCTTCTGTTTCCGCCATCTGCTTCTCTGGCCCTGGAACTCAACGAAAAAGCTCCTGTTTTGTAGCAGGTTTCCTATGAGGCGGGTGAGGTGGTAGTCCTTTGTGATATTATACATTTTTCTCAGGAGGAGGTGGTGGTTTACAGTATCATAAGCCGCTGACAGGTCTATGAAGACAGCTCCTGTGATCTGCTGCCTTTCAAAGCCATCTTCTATGTGCTGAGTCAGGTTCAATACTTGCGATGTGCAGCTTTTGGCTTTCCTGAAGCCAGCTTGCTGTGGGATCAGACATGGGTCTATTTTTTCCGTAATTCTATGCAGAATAAGTCTCTCCAGAACTTTGTAGAGGTGGCACAACAGGGAGATTGGTCTATAGCTTTTTGGATCATTACGGTCTTTGCCTGGCTTCAAGATGGCGATGGGTAGAATATTGGGTATATCCTCATTTCCTGAGGAAAACAGGATGCAAATAAATGCAAATAAATAACAACCACCCACTGCTGTTTTATAGGCTGGATGGAAGGAAAATCACGCCACTTTTATGAATGAACTGAAAAACTTGCAAGCCTCGGGATTGACGACTCTTGGACAGGCCCTGAGATCATCGTTCGACCTTCTGAACCTCAACAGATTAGTGTCTGGAATAGACAACTATGGGCAGGTAAAGGATGCTGGTGTTCATCTGAAGAACCTTTTCAGCTCTTTTATGAACAGGATCGGGGTATAGGGTGGCAACCTGTGTTGGACGGGGTTGCACTCCGCCTGAAGTCACAGGTCCACAGTCTGGGCGTCCTCCTGGACTCATCACTTACGCTTGAAGCTCAGGCGTCGCCGGTGGCTGGGAGGGCCTTTGCACAATTAAGACTCGTGCACCAACTGCGACTGTACCTCGTGAAGGTGGATCTGGCCAGGGTGGTCCATTTCTTAGTCACCTCCAGATTGGACTACTGCAATGCACTCTACGTGGGGCTACCCTTGAAAACGGCCTGGAAATTTCAATTGGTTCAACGAGCGGTGGCCAGGTTGATAACTGGTGCTCCTTACAGGGAGTGGTCAACTCTTCTGTTTAAGGAGCTCCATTGGCTGCTGTTCATTTTCCGGTCCCAATTCAAGGTGCACGCGCTTACCTACAAAGCCCTAAACCAGTGGTTCTCAACCTGGGGTCCCCAGGTGTTTTTGGCCTTCAACTCCCAGAAATCCTAACAGCTGGTAAACTGGCTGGGATTTCTGGGAGTTGAGAATCACAGATTGAGAATCACTGCCCTAAATGGTTTGGGACCCGCCTACCTGCGTGACCGCATCTCTGTGTACTAACCCACACGATCTCTTCGATCATCTGGAGAGGCCCTGCTCGCGCTCCCACCTCCATTGCAAGCACGATTGGTGGGGACGAGGGAGAGGGTCTTCTTGGTGGTGGCCCCCCGACTCTGCAACTCACTCCCCAAGGACATCAGGCATGCCCCAACTCTGGCAGTCTTTAGGAGGAGCCTGAAAACGTGGTTGTTTCAGTGTGCCTTTCCAGAATAAGGAAACTCCCAGCAATATGTCCCTCAACGCACTTTATTAATGATCTAGGGTTGTCTGCACATTTCATCCCTCTCCAAAATTTCTATCCTAGTTATATGTCACCTGGTCATGCCCAGCATTATTTTTAAAATTTTTAATTATTACATTTGGCCCAGCCGTAGGTTTTTAAGCATTGTTGTGCTATTGTTAATGTTTACTGCTTGTTTTTTGTTTATGAGTTTCATTTTATTGTTTTATATTGCTGTTGTTGTTTTTATTATTTATTTATTTATTTATTTAGCAGTTTTGTATACCGGTCTTCTCACCTCCACCGAGGGACTCAGGCTGGTTTCCAACAGTAATATCACAAAGTCATTAAAAACATCATATTGCATATTAGACTAAAAACATTAAAATAGCAAAATACAGTAATATAATTACAATGGTCAGTCGTCACAATAATATCGTTGTTCGTCACCATCCATCCATATCACAGAATATTGACTCACTCGTCGAATGCCAATTTCCCGAGCCAAGTTTTCACCTGTTTTCTGAACGTCAAGATAGAAGGGGCAGTTCTGACCTCCAGTGGGAGAGAGTTCCAGAGCCGAGGGGCCACCACCGAGAAGGCCCTGTCCCTCGTCCCCACCAGACGCGCCTGTGAGGCTGGTGGGACCGAGAGCCGATCTTAACAATAGGGGAGAATACGTTTGGACAGGTAAACTGGGCCGGAGTCGTTTAGGGCTTTATAGGTTAACACCAGCACTTTGAATTTTTGCTGATGTATTTTTGCTGAATTTTTGCTGTTGTTGTTTTTGTTGATGTATTGTGGGCTCGGCCTCATGTAAGCCACACCGAGTCCCTTGGGGAGATGGTAGCGGGGTACAAATAAAGTATTATTATTATTATTATGAGAGCAACTGCTGGTCTATTTAAAATAAGCGGAGTCGGCTGGGTGGGGAACTACCAGAAGTGAAGATGCTTGCCTTTTTTCCAACCTCAAAGCTGCTTTCCATTGGAGACAACTAGGAGGGATGGAATAGATTCTGTCACTGGCAATTTGCAACTGGGATTTGTGTAGGAGATTTAGTAAAGAACCAGAGGCCATGACATGACAACACGGAGACACAAACCTGCTGTCCCAGCACTCTTGGCTTCTTTGAACTCATGTCCAACGAACCTGCTTTTCTTGTTTCCTTTCTAATTATTATCACAGCAAGATGTCCGTTTATCCCAATGACACTTTTATATTATACTGAAAACATTAACACAGATATGTTTTTTTTTTCTTCTCTGTAGGGAAGGAATCCTTTTTTTCTAGAGCCATCTATTTTAATCACCATCACAGATGGAAACAAACTGACAAACACTTCTGGTGTTCAGGAAGAGGTAAGGCATAGTGATGGGCTGTGAAATTGCATTGTGGTTACTCTGAGTAGTTCTTGGCAATTAAAAAATACACAATAAATGTTCCCTGTGATGTTAGCACTGCATGTTTTGACTTAAAATGCTAAATAAGTGGTTGTTTTGTGGAGAACTGTGTGTGCATTGTCGAAGGCTTTCATGGCCGGAATCACTGGGTTGTTTTAGGATTTTTCGGGCTATATGGCCATGATCTAGAGCAGCGTTTCTCAACCTGGGGATCGGGACTCCTGGGGGGGGGGTCGCCAGGGGGTGTCAGAAGGGTCACCAAAGACCACCAGAAAACACAGTATTTTCTGTTGATTATGGGAGTTCTGTGTGGGAAGTTCAGCCCAATTGCTCCAGATCTATCATTGTTTTGAGTCCACAGTGCTCTCTGGATGTAGGTGAACTACAACTCCAAAACTCAAGGTCAATGCCCACCAAACCCTTCCAGTATATTCAGTTGGACATGGGAGTTCTGTGTGCCAAGTTTGGTTCAATTCCATCGCTGGTGGAGTTCAGGATGCTCTTTGATTGTAGGTGAACTATAAATCCCAGCAACTACAATTCCAAATGTCAAGGTATATTTTCCCCAAACTCCACCAGTGTTCACATTTGGGCATATTGAATAACTGTGCCAAGTTTGGTCAAATCCATCATTGTTTGAGTCCATAGTCTGGATGTAGGTGAACTACAAGTCCAAAACTCAAGGACAATGCCCACCAAGCCCTTCTAGTATTTTCTGGTGGTCATGGGAGTCCTGTGTGCCAAGTTTGGTTCAATTCCATTGTTGTTGGGGTTCAGGATGCTCTTTGATTGTAGGTGAACTATAAATCCCAGCCCAAATGACAAAATCAAACTTCTACCAACCCTACCAGTATTCAAATTTGGGTGTATCGGGTATTTGCCAAATTTGGTCCAGTGAATGAAAACACATCCTGCAGATCAGATATTTACATGACGATGCATAGCAGTAGCAAAATTACAGTTGTGTCGTAGCAACGAAAATAATGTTATGGTTGGGGGTCACCACAACACAAGGAACTGTATTAAGGAGTCGCGGCATTGTGAAGGTTGAGAACCACTGTTCTAGAGGCATTCTCTCCTGGCTTTATGGCCATGTTCTAGAGGCATTCTCTCCTAGAGAATGCCTCTAGAACACTTTTTCTCAACCTTCCTAATGCCGTGACCCCTTAATACAGTTCCGCATGTTGTGGTGACCCCCAACCATAAAATTATTTTTGTTGCTACTTCCTAACTGTAATTTTGCTACTCTTACGAACTGTAATGTAAATATCTGATATGCAAGATGCACTTTCATTCACTGGACCAAATTTGGCACAAATACCCAATATGCCCAAATTTGAATACTGGTTGGGGGGCGGGATTGATTTTGTCATTTGGGAGTTGTAGTTGCTGGGATTTACAGTTAACCTGTAAACAAAGAGCATTCCGAACCCCACCAACAATGGAACTGAACCAAAGTTGGCACACAGAACTCCCATGACCAACAGAAAATACTGGAAGGGTTTGGTGGACATTGACCTTGAGTTTTGGAGTTGAAGTTCACCTATATCCAGAGAGCACTCTAGACTCCAACAATGATGGATCTGGACCAAACTTGGCATGGATACTCCATATCCCCAAATGTGAACACTTGTGGGGTTTTGGGAAAATAGACCTTGAGATTTGGGAGTTGTACTTGCTGGGATTTATAGTTCACCTACAATCAAGGAGCGTTCTGAACCCCAACAATGATAGAATTGGGCCAAACTTCCCACACAGAGACCCCCATAACTAACAGAAAATACTGTATTTTCGGATGGTCTTTGGTGAGAGCAGTTTGTGTGAAAAAGCCCCCTCCCTCCTGACCTTTTTGGAAAAGAGTAAAAACGTGGCTCTTCGAGCAAGCATTTGGAACCTCTGAATAATAGACAAACTGAATTGGAAAATGACCCAGGAACGGCCCAAGACGATGGAACGAATAAGGACTTGAATGAGAGGATATAGTTTTTAGTTTTAAAATTGTTATTATGCACTCCCTTTATGTCTAATTGCACTATAATGTTCTTTTGTTTATCAATGTATGTATTTTTATGGCATTGAATTGTGCCGACTGTGTACGCCACTCTGAGTCGCCTTCGGGCTGATGAGCGGGGTAGAAATAATGCATATAAATAAATCTATATAAATAAAAATGTAGTGGGATTAACAGAACTCAAAACCACTGGACGAATTGACACCAAATTTGGACACAAGACACCTGACAACCCAATGTATGTCCTTCACTTAAAAAAAATGATTTTGTCATTTGGGAGTTGTAGTTGCTAGGATTTATAGTTCACCTACAATCAAAGAGCATTCTGAACCCCACCAATGATGGAATTGAACCAAACTTGGCACACAGTTCTCCCATGACCAATAGAAAATACTGGAAGGGTTTGGTGGGCAATGTCCTTTGGTTTTGGAGTTGTAGTTCACCTACATCCAGAGATCACTATGGACTCAAACAATGATGGACCTGAACCAAACTCTACACGAATACTCAATATGTCCAAATGTGAACACTGGTGGAGTTTGGGGGAAATAGAATCTTGACATTTGGGAGTTGTCGTTGCTGGGATTTGTAGTTCACCTACAACCACAGAGCATTCTGAACCCCACCAACGATAGAATTGGGCCAAACCTCCCACACAGAACCCCTATGACCACCAGAGTAGGCCACAGCAACGCGTGGCAGGGTACAGCTAGTAATAAATATTGACGTCTAGCTAATTCTCCCTTTTTTTCCTAGCTTCACCTCCCTTTGAATTCCCCGCTCCCTGGGAGTGAGCTCACCAAAGAACCCTTTCGCTGGGACCAGAGGCTCTTTGCCCTGGTGCTGCGCTTGGCTGGAGCCTCTTCAGTGGAACCCGAGCAGCTGGGGAGCGTCCCCACCGATGACTCCGCCATCACACAGATGTGTGAAGTCACAGGAGGTAGCTGCTTCCCTTGGGTTATTTTTTTCTCAGTCTGCAGATAAACATCTTCCTGCTAGAATTAATTGGCTCGCTTCTCATTTCGTCTATGAATGTTATATTGTACCTACTGTGCCAGTGTGAACAGATGTATGTATGAATACTGACTTGCTTGCTTTGTGGTCTTGAAGTGATATGATTGGCTGGTAGGAAATGCTGAGGATCATTGCACTTGACATGGTGCTCCTTCTTCTGGAGGCCCATCTCCTCAGGAACGCAGATCCTATATTGTTCAATGTTATTCTTACACTGAGACCTTGGTGCTATTCTTACTTACTTTACTTACTTAGGTGATGCCTCGTTTTCCAAGGAGGATTGTCTTCCAATATTCTTGTGGGTCCGTATGTGGCTGTGGAGCCCTATTCTTGCTCTGCATCTTCTTCCGCAGTGAGGGCATTGGTTTCCAGGTGGAAGGCGGTCTCGGTCGGGGTTGGCTTGACGCGCCTTCCTCTTGGCACGCTTCTCCCTTTCGCCCTCCATTCGTGCCTCTTCAAATTCTGCAGCACTGCTGGTCACAGCTGACTTCCAGCTGGAGCGGTCAAGGGCCAGGGCTTCCCAGTTCTCAGTGTCTATGCCAGAGTTTTTAAGGTTGGCTTTGAGCCCATCTTTAATCTCTTTTCCTGTCCTCCAACATTCCACTCTTGAGTTTGGAATAGAGCAACAGCTTTGGGAGATGGTGGTTGGGCATCCGGACAACGTGGCCGGTCTAGCGGAGTTGATGGCGGAGGAGCATCGCTTCAATGCTGGTGGTCTTTGCTTCTTCCAGCAGGATTTTCCGGAGGCAGCGCTGATGGAATTGTTCCAGGAGTTGCATGTGACGTCTGTAGACAGTCCACGTCTCACAGGCATATAGCAGGGTTGGGAGGACAATAGCTCTATAAACAAGCACCTTGGTATCCCTATGGATGTCCCGGTCCTCAAACACTCTCTGCTTCATTCAGAAAAATGCTGCACTCGCAGAGCTCAGGCGGTGTTGTATTTCGGTGTCGATGTTGACTTTGGTGGAGAGGTGGCTGCCAAGGTAGTGGAAATGATCAATATTTTCTAATGTTCCATGACTAAGCTGTATCACTGGCATTGGAGAGGGGTTGGCTGGTGTCTGTTGGAACAGCACCTTGGTTTTTTCAATGTTCAATGACAGGCCGAGCTTCTCGTATGCTTCTGCAAAGGTGTTTAGAGTGGCTTGTACATCTTCTGAATGCGCACAGACGACGTTGTCATCAGCATACTGGAGTTCTATAACAGATGTTGTTGTAACCTTGGTTTTGGCTTTCATTTTGCTGAGGTTAAACAGCTTGCCATCTGTCCGATAGATGATTTTCACTCCAGTGGGAAGCTTCCCATCAACAAGGTGAAGTATCATAGCGATAAAGATGGAGAATAGAGTTGGGGCAATAACACATCCCTGTTTGATGCCTGATTCCACCTTAAATGGGTCACTTTGGGAGCCACTGCTGTCCAGGATTGTTGCCATCATGTCATCATGGAGGAGTTGCAGGTCCTCCTGCAGTCCTATTCACACGTCCTTGAACATGGTGCAGATTTGAGATCTGGTCCCACATTTACTTTAATGCAAGCTTTCCTTTCCCTCTAGCTTTGAAAGAATAGTTTCATTCTGAGGCATCATTATAAAGCAGGCCACCTTACATTGGTTATTCAATGAAAAAAATGGACTGTTTTGTTCTCAGAAGCTGTCCTGAAGGAGAAATTGAGCAGAAATAACTTAGCTTCTGGGTTGCTGTGAGTTTTCCGGGCTGTATGGACATGTTTCAGAAGCATTATCTCCTGATGTTTCGCCTGCATCTATGGCAGGCATCGTCAAAACTTGTGAAGTCTGTTGGAAACTAGGCAAGGGAGGCTTATATATCTGTTGAAGGTCCAGGGTGGGAGAAAGAACTCTTGTATGTTGGAGGCATAGAATCATAGAGTTGGAAGGGACCTCATGGGCCATCCGGTCCAACCCCTGCCAAGAAGCAGGAATATTGCATTCAAAGTACCCCTGACAGATGGCCATCCAGCCTCTGTTTAAAAGCCTCCAAAGGAGGAGCCTCCACCACACCAGGGAAGTGTGAATGTTGCAATTAATCACCTTGATTAGCATTGCAAAGCCTTGCAGCTTCAAAGTCTGGCTGATTCCTGCCTGGGGGAATCCTTTGTTAGATTCCATGGAAACTATGAAATTGAACAAAATCTGGCTACCAGTATGTAAAAAACTCTAAAATCAGGACAGTAAATAAAAAAAACACTCAGAAAATGTGAAATCCAGACAAGAATCAATCAGGACCAGCTAACATTTCCCAACAAAGGATTCCCCCAGGCAGGAAGCAGTCAGGCCTTGAAAGCTGCAAGGCTTTGTAATTCTAATCAAGGTGATGAAGGAATTTAGTGACTAGATCCAGGGCAGTCATACTATCCTTCTATTCTGCCTTGGTCAGACCACACCTGGAATCACACTGTGCCCAATTCTCGGCACCACAATTGAAGGAAGGTGTTGACTCTAAGCTGGAACGTGTCCAGAGCAGGGCGACTAAAATGAACAAGGTTCTGGAGAACAAGCCCTATGAGGAACAGCTTGGAGAGCTGGGCATGTTTAGCCTGCAGAAGAGAAGGCTGAGAGGAGACATGATGAGGACAATGGATCAAGATGTGAAGGGAAGTCATAGGGAGGAAGGAAGGAGCAGGCTTGTTTTCTGYTGCCCAGGAAACTAGGACGCAATGGAACAATGGCTTCAAACTACAAGAATGGAGATTCCATCTGAACATTAGGAAGAACTTCCTGACTGTGAAAGTTGTTCATCAGTGGAACTCTCTGCCCTGGAGTGTGGTGGAGGCTCCTTCTTTGGAGCCTTATAAGCAGAGGCTGTGCAATTTTCCTGCTTCTTGACAGAATGAGGTTGGACTGGACGGGGTCATTGCTGAGAAGGCCCTGTCCCTCGTCCCCACCAATCGTGTTAGCGATGACGGTGGGATCTAGAGCACTGCCTCTTCAGATGATTTTAGACTTCATGATGGTTCGTAACAGGAGATACAGGTAAACTTGGCCAGAACCATTTAGGGCTTTAAATGTAAAACCAGCAATTTGAATTGTGGGTTGTTGTAGGTTTTTTYGGGCTATATGGCCATGTTTTAGAGGCATTCTTTCCTGACGTTTTGCCTGCATCTATGGCAAGCATCCTCAGAGGTAGTGAGGTCTGTTGGAAGTAGGAAAAAAGGGTTTATATATCTGTGGAAGGACTTTGAATTGTGYTCGGAAGCAGAMCGGCAGCCAGTGGTGCTGGCCTAATAGAGGGGTTGTGTGTTCCCTGTACGCTGCTCCGTTTTTGTGTGTGTGTCAGGAGCGACTTGAGAAACTGCAAGTTGCTTCTGGTGTGAGATAATTGGCCATCTGCAAGGACATTGCTCAGGGGACACCCAGATGATTTGATGTTTTAACATCCTTGTGGGAGGCTTCTCTCATGTCCCCGCATGAGGAGCTGGAGCTGATAGACGGAGCTCATCTGCCTCTCCCTGGATTCGAACCTGCGACCTGTCGATCTTCAGTCCTGCCGGCACAGGGGTTTAACCCACTGTGCCACCGGGGACTCCGGAGGTATTCTTCAAAGGCAGCCCCACGTAGAGTGTGTTACAGTAGTCTATTCAGGATGTAACAAGAGCATGGACCACCATGGCCAAGTCAGACTTCACAATGAAATCCCATTGACTTTATGTATAGGTCTCTTTGAACAAGGTGAACTCACAGCGGGAAAGAACACCTTCTATGATCCTGCTGTAGCATTTGCAAGTGTCATTCCTTTTTGAGCACCTTTTGAAGCATTTGTCCCCACTACTGATGTCCTTGGCTTGCCTGTGTACCTTAATGGTGTGGGTTTTCTGTTAATTACATGCCCTTGCATTCAAACTCTGCTCTCTTTTGTCTTTCCCACTATAGGACGCTCATATTGTGTTCGGACACAACGAATGTTGAACCAGTGTTTAGAATCGCTCGCTCAGAAGGTTCAGAGCGGAGTTGTGATTAATTTTGAAAAATCAGGACCAGATCCATCCCCCATTGGGGAAGGTACAGAGACCTTATTTATTTATATTTATTTTAATATTAATAACTTATTTTTTAAAAATGACATTTCAGGTAGTAGCCATGAAAATACAATTAGAGTAAGTGTTACAATGACTTTACTATTTCTAATACTGTCATGTGGGAAACTATCTGTTCCTCTCTCTGAATACCATCTTTCACTGAATCCCTTTAGACTATGTATATTGTCTTTTTTTCTTCGTGGACTCTGCGAATGCACACATGTGGAGTATCTGCGCCTGTGCAAGCTCCAACGGAAAACTTCCAAAGTTTAAATCCAAAGTTTTGGCGGTAACCTCGCCCAGTCCCCTCCCCAGGGCATAAAAGGTGCCCTGGGTGCACGCTCCACAGTTCCTGTTTTTCCGCTGCAAATCTCGCTTCGGAAACTTCTTCGTAATGTCTACTAGATTTAAGCGGTATACTCAGTGCTCCTGTAAATTTCCAGACTTTGACAAGCACGCTAAGTGCCTTCTCTGCCTGGCGAAGCCCATGTTATTTCTTCCTTTCGCCATTGCCAATCCTTGATGGCCCAGGCTCGAAAGAACAGAGCCACCTGGCTTAAATATCTTCTCTATAAGCGAACCTTCGCTCCTTCGACTTCTCAGCCTTTGACTTTAGCTCCATTGGCCTCCGATACCTCAACCTCGACAGCGGCCCAACCGCCGTCAAAGCCTAAGTCAACCTCTTCGACAGCCTTGAAATAGTCGAGACCGACTCGGCAAGCCAAGCCGCCCTGCATCTTGACTACGGTGATGGTCTCCAGCAAGACCCTCTTCGACCTCGGTAGCTTCCGTCCGCTCCACAAGGACCAGTATGGTGATGCCATCATCTTCTTTGTCAATGAAGATCACGTTTAAAAGAGTCCATGAGGAGATACGTTGAGCCCAGTCTGCATCAACTTTGCCGACGGTGCTGTCTAAATCTCTTGCACCACTGGGTAATACCCAGCCACTGGCTAAGAGAAGAGCTCCTGCTTGCCCTTCTTTCTCCTCTTCCAAAAAGATGGTGCCAACCTCTTCGGCCACCTCGTCTGGCCAATCTTTGCTGCTTCTGCTGGCTCAGCCTGCCAGATCTTCTCAGGATTCCCCCGTCCAGAACCCCTTGGACAGGCAAGCTCCAAGATTCACCGATCCGAAACAAATGGTGGTTCAGGTTCTTCCTCGGCAACCTCCCCCACCACATCCTTCGGCCAGAGAAGAACTCTTTCCACCAACCTCGACACCAGAGAGAGGTCGTCAGGCATCTCACCTGGCAAAAGTGTCCCAAGCCTCGATGTCCAAACAGGCCCCAACTCCGGCCTCTCCAGTCTGGCCTCCTAGGCCTCCACCGCCAGTTCCCTTGTCTTCGTCTCCCCATCAATCTGAGGATGAGGATCATGAGAAGGACATTCCCGTATCCGTTCACTCAGGTTCCATCTTGTCATTGGGCCGTGACCGCTCCCCAACCCATGACGCCTACGAGGTAGATCCTCCATCGCCTACGGACAATGTCAGGGCCTTTGCTGACCAGATGGTCTGAATGGCTGAAACCTTGGGCCTAGAGATCAAGCACACCTCCAAGGCGGTAACCGATCCCATCTTTAAGAGAGTCCAGTCAGAGGTTTCTCCGGTTCCTCTTCTATTGTTTCTTCCATATCTTCCCAACGTCACCCAAGCATCCTGGAAGACTCCCTCCTTGATACCTCCCACTTTGAACCGCATCAAAGCCTGGTATCATACCTATGATGAAGGTCTCTAGTGGCTAAAACACCATCCCGACCCAAACTTCATGGTGGTCAAGTCTGCACAAAACTCCGGTAGGCAGTTGAATACTCCTTCGGATCATGAAGGCAAACAGTTCGATGGCGTTGGCAGGAAACTTTACTCTGATGCTCTCCTTTTGGCTGGAAAGGCAAACTACGGTGCCTGCGTGGGAGCCTACCAGCAAATCCTTTGGGAAAAGGCCCAACCGTTCCATGCCAAGCTGTCGGAAGAAGACCGTGCAGTCCTCTCGATGTTTTCCCAGGAGGCTCTCTGGCCCACCACCAGATTCAGATGGCCAAACACAATCTATTACGAACTGGCATGCTGCTTTCCACCGCCATCAGTGTGCTCTAGATTGACAAGAGGCATGGCCGCTTCGACGGCCTTCCTTAAGGGTAGTATCCCTTTGGACTTGATTTCCAAGGCAGCCATCTGGTCAAACCCAATGACTTTTGTTTCTCACTATTAGCTCGATACCAGAACTTGCAAGGACACTACTTTTGGCAGATCCATTCTTTCTACCTGCCGACCCTGACTTCCCTACCAGTCAGGTTGGGTTTTTTTCTCTCCTGCAAAAATGACTCATAGGCCCCTGTTTTTCTATGAAGCCACACAAACCCGTCCGACCTTCCCTCAAGCAAACCTCCCCCTTTCTCACTGCCTTTGCGGCATAGGAACTGCGGAACATGTGACCAGGGCACCTTTTATGCCCTGGAGAGAGGACTGAGTGGGATTACCGCCAAAACTTTGGAAGTTTTCCGTTGGAGCCTGCACAGACGCCAGTACCACTCGAAGAAACATGTCTACAGGTGAATAACCTGCCATTCGCTCATTTCCTTTGGATTTGATATGCTTTCTCATATAACAATTATTTAAGTCAAAAGTGATTTATCATCTTACTCTGTTATTGTTTTTATTACATTTATTATTTTACTCTACTTACTATTATTACATTTACATTATTTTACTCTATCATTTTATTACATATATTTTTCTCTCTCAATATAAAAATGCTCTGTGCATAATGAGTACCTTAAAAACAAAAGAACTAATGAACGAAATCACACCAAATTTGGCAACAAAACGTCTCACAACACAAGGAGTGACCATCACTCAAAAAATTATGATTTTGTCATTTGGGAGTTGTAGTCGCTGGGATTTATAGTTCACCTACAATCAAAGAGCATTCTGAACTCCACCAACGATGGAATTGAACCAAACTTGGCACCCATGACCAACAGAAAATACTGGAAGGGTTTGGTTGGCATTGACCTTGAGTTTGGGAGTTGTAGTTCACCTACATCCAGAGAGCACTGTGGACTCAAACAATGATGGATCTGGACCAAACTTGACACAAATACTCCATATGCTCAAATATGAACACAGATGGAGTTTGGGGGAAATAGACCTTGACATTTGGGAGTTGTAGTTACTGGGATTTATAGTTCACCTACAATCAAAGAGTGTTCTGAACCCCACCAGTGACAGAATTGGGGCAAACTTCCCACACAGAACCCCCATGACCAACAGAAAATACTCAAGGCCACCCAGTCCAACTCCCTTCACCAGGGCAAGAAAACGTAATCAAAGCCCTCCTGACAAAGAGCCATCCAGCCATACATATAGATAGATACTATATCTCTCTCACACAGAAAGATATAGTATCATAGATTTGAAAGGGACCCCTGAAGAAGGACAATTATATGTTGCATGTTCCAGAGTAGGCAAACCAGACAATCTCCACATCAACACTGACAAAGAAACAACAAGAAATACTGTTTACCCACAAGCATAAAGAATTACATATATTAGAAACAAACACTTTCTCATTACTTTATTTTCCAGATCACCAGACTGGGCCACAGCAACGCGTGGCAGGGGACAGCTAGTAAATATATATATTTTACACTATTATTGTTACTACATTTACATTATTTTACTCTATTATTACTTTTATTATTTTTCTCTATTATTACTATTGTTATTACAATTCCATTATGCTTCTCTATTATTATTTTTGTTATTTTACCTTAATATTATTGGAAGGATATGTAAGCACATTTACATTGAAGAAGGTTAGAATCATGGCTTAATCAGCATTGGGCAGTCTTATCTTAAAATACAGTTTTTTGTAAATATTCCTACTGATGCCTCAATTAATGTAATTTTATTGGTATCTGTTTTTATTTTGAAATTTACCTGTAGCTGATGCATTTCCTACCCTTGACTTATACTCACGTCTATATGTTTTCCCTTATATTTGGGTCAGCTTATACTCGAGTATATATGGTACATGGTATTTTTTCTCCCTGAAGTGCAGTGTTTGCAGATTTCTTCTATGCCTCCATAATATTTTCCAAAACATATTTTTAAAATTTAGTTCTTTTATGCAGATCAGAGGAATCTTTTGTTACAGTAACAGCATGAGAGTTAAATAATTACTGGAAGTGTAATTTATTGGGGCGGTTAACATCCTGAGTTGCTTATTGTTCTCCCCTTGTATTTAGATGGGCTTGTTGACCCCATGAGGCCAGTCAACTCTTTTGGATCTCAACCCTGGCACAGCTGCCATAAGCTTATCTATGTGCGGCCAAACCCAAAAACAGGCGTTCCTGTTGGACACTGGCCAATCCCTGAGTCTTTTTGGCCTGATCAGAATTCGCCAACCCTGGTAGGTAACACACTATCCGAAGTTGAGGTAAAGAAAGGAGAGATGGGGACAGTGTAGACACTTCGTACTTTGCGAATTGATGGCAGCTAGTTTTATCTGCTGTTTTAAAATTATATTATTTTGATTTTATTCTATATGTGTTGACAAGTCGTATATAATTTTATAATAAACAAGTTGCATATAATTTTGTACGACTTGTTTAATACTAATGTGTCATTTTTATCTGTTGTATATTATATATGCAATCTGGAGTGCCTTTGTAAGTTGCCCCGAGTCCCTTCGGGGAGATGGTGGTGGGATATAATAAAGTTTATTATTATTTATTATTTAGACTAACCTTCCAGGCAGTGGCAGTAATATATGTGGAGAGTGTTTCAAATACAGGCAGTTCCCGAGTTGCAAATAACTCTTAGTGAAGAACGGGGTGAGACAGCAGGAAGTGATAGAAACATCCCCATCGGAGGAAAATTCACTCCTTGTTGGGCTTTGGCTCTGATGCCTTTCTCTTTATCCCAGCCACCCCGCACAGCCCACCCAGTGGTGAAGTTCTCCTGCGTGGATTGCGAGCCCATGGTGATCGACAAGCTCCCGTTCGACAAGTATGAGCTTGAGCCCTCACCGTTGACGCAGTACATCTTGGAACGGAAGTCGCCTCATGCGTGCTGGCAGGTACGGAATGGGAGCCAAGGTAGATTTGTAGGGCAAGACAGGGAAGGGTGAGGCGGACTATTTACAAGAACAAGTTTCTACGACACAGTTCTTTACACTTTCTTCTTTGCTTCCATGCTGGGCTTCTTTCTCATGCAGACAAACAGCTTTGCTCTCACAGAGCCTCTTCTCACACCAAAGTTACACACAGAAGCTCCACACAGTAGCTTTTTACACACAGCAGCCTTCAGACTTGAAGCTTTACACACAATGGCTTCTCTCACAGAAGTTTCTCACGCCAGGCCTTCTCATACTGAAAGAAGATTCCTTGTATAAATATGTGAGAGGAAGGCACAGGGAGGAGGGAGCAAGCTTGTTTTCTGCTTCCCTGGAGACTAGGACGCGGAACAATGGCTTCAAACTACAAGAGAGGAGATTCCATCTGAACATGAGGAAGAACTTCCTGACTGTGAGAGCCATTCAGCAGTGGAACTCCCTGCCCCGGAGTGTGGTGGAGGCTCCTTCTTTGGAGGCTTTTAAGCAGAGGCTGGATGGCCATCTGTCAGGGGTGATTTGAATGCAATATTCCTGCTTCTTGGCAGGGGGTTGGACTGGATGGCCCATGAGGTCTCTTCCAGCTCTTTGATTCTATGATTCTATGATACTGAGATCTATTAACACTGAGGCCTACCTCACACTGAGGGCTGTCTTAGGCTGAGGCGAACTAACACTGAGGCCTTTCTCCCACAGAAACATCTTCCAGACTGAGGGCTACTAAGCTACAGACACACCTGCTGATATAATAATAATATTTATTTATTTGATCAGTCATATGACCATTTCAAAATAGAACACGAGTAAAAAACAAGGCAACAAGGTGATAAATCAGAATCTTATTTTCCTGGTTCTTCTTTCAGGAAATCTTCTCTTTTCTTAATAGCTTTCAGAATAAAAAGGCTTACTCTGATTATGCTGGATCTTTCCTGCCCTTGCAAGAGGGATGTCAGAGTATCTTTTCTGTTCGGGGACCTGCAGTTGGATAATATTGGATGTAAATATCTGTCTCGCAGTTCAGTGTATGCTGGACAGTCAATCACAGAAGTTTCCCACACCAGGCCTTCTCAGATCTACTAACACTGAGGGCTGTCTTAGGCCGAGGCAATCTAACACTGAGGCCTTTCTCCCACAGAAACTTCTTCCAGACTGAGGGCTACTAAGCTACAGACACCTGCTTATATTGAACTACAGCTTTTGCCGAGTTGTCGTATCCATTTAACCCTTTCAGTGCTTGACTCACATTTTTGTAATTTAAAATACCTAGTTAATTTTTAATCTTTCTGACACCTTCTCTGCCTTGCCCTTTCATTCCAGGTTTTTGTGAGCAGCAGTGGCAAATACAGTGAGCTGGACCACCCTTTTGGCTACCTGAAGGCCAGCACCACCCTCACCTGCGTCAACCTCTTTGTGATGCCTTACAACTACCCTGTCTTGCTCCCGCTTCTAGGTGAGTCACGCAGGTCCTGTCCCCTCTGCCAAGGAGGAAGGATGGCCCTATCTTTCTCTGCCGTTGTCCGTGATGTCTGTCTGTCTGTCTGTTTGCCAGCCGTTTTCTTAAACGGGATGGGAGACCGGAGCGTCTAGTGTTGCTGCTGCTGCTACTACTCTACTACTGCTGCCGTTGGGAGAAGAGGATTTTTACACCCGCTCTCCCTTTTTTTTTCTGCAGCAGAGGAGGAGGGCCACCTGCTGCCTGTGCATGTTTGATGCTGCTCACCTCCTAGACTCGTAGCTTCTTCCTTAATTGGAGTAAGGTTCAACCTCCATTCTTTTCCCTCTTTCAGGATGTGGGGCCTGCAGATTCTTTGCAACCCCTTGTGTGGCCCCTGTCTCTCGTTTCTGTTCTGTTTTGGTTTTGCTTTTGTTTGGGTTCCAAAAGGCAAAGGGGTGTGTGGGGGAGAGATGGAAACCCACAGAGAGGACTGGAGCCTCCACCCAGTTTGGGATTCTTCCCTTCATCTGCAGGAAAATTAAGCATCTCATTGTCTGTCCCAAATTATTTTGGTGGAACATTTTGGTTTCTCTGGCAGAACAATTGCAATGAACAAATAAAGGGCAATTATCTCCACACACGAAAAGTTGAACTTAGGTTTGGATTCAGATTCCAGTTTGACCACAGTGATGCTGGATGTCTTTGGGGTGAATTACAGACTTGTCTTTGTCTATCATACAAATGGTCTGTGCGTTATCCACAATTATGACTGTAATGTACTATTAGATTGCATTGTTTCATAGGCATTCGCTCTGATGCTCTTGCTTAGATCTTCATTATTATGCATTATATAGAATGGTGACGTGTGAATTTCACGGAAATATGGTTTAGAAAATGGGCTAGTACTTTTCTCATAGAGTGTCCTTGACCTTTCTCTGCAGCATCCATACCAGAAGTAGCCATTTTGGGCATCAGATAGAGTCCCATGCGGAAGCGTGCTGGTCCCATAACCCTAGTGTTGACGCTTGCCAGCAGAAGAATTGCTAGATCAGCAGACTGTGTTCAAAATAAGGACTCTGCAGGCTTTCAGTTACAATAGAAAACTAAGTTTTACTAAGTGCATCTAAACATGTCTATTCACAGCAAGCTACAGACAGGAACTCCTAGGCCAGTGGTTCTCAACCTGGGGTCCCCAGATGTTTTTGGCCTTCAACTCCCAGAAATCCTAACAGCTGGTAAACTGGCTGGGATTTCTGGGAGTTGTAGGCCAAAAACATCTGGGGACCCCAGGTTGAGAAACACTGTCCTAGGCAAAAACAACAGTCTCTGAACATATGCTTATCTATCTTCTGGCTGAGACCAGTTCCTCCCTTCTCTTCCCAGCAAGAGAACACGTTATTTCATTTCTGTCAAGGTTACAGTATCACAGCCTCAGCACAGTATTTCTAATACACAATAGAACAGAATAGAATCCATCTTGAAATACATCTTAATCCATCTTAAATTACATAGAAGCACATTGAAAAACACACATACATAACTAAATAATCCTGACACCTTAGTGCTCACACCACAGTCTGAAATATTTCCTGTCAAATGAGCCTGCCTTGTAGTTGAACTTCAAAGCGATGGTTAGGACCCATGGGGTTTTGGTACCACTTTGCCCTTTCCTTTGTCCCTGCTCCCTTTTGTTTTCATGATAGGAAAATCACGTCAAGTAGATTACCCTATTTACTTGGGGCAAATGCTCACTTTTTTTTGGCTAAATGACTTTCCCAAAATTAGAGTCTGCATTATATTTGTGTCATATGGTCATCTTAATGCTGAGCCAAAGCAAAAGGGAGCTCCTATTTGAGGGACCTAATCTCTAACTGTCATGGCTTTGTACTATGCGATCCTGGGATTTGTAGTGTGTCTGGCAAAACACACTTTTGGCAGAGAATGTTTAAGGCCTTGTGAAATGCCGGCCCCCATGACTCCTTAGTGTTGAAGGCAGTTAAAGTGGATTCATTTTACAGCATAAATGGATCCCAAGGTTTTCCTTTCTGCTGCTGGTAGCTTTGATACCCTTATGCTTTTGTGTTTTAAAGAAGAATCCTAAGCAGGTGCACCTTTTTGGAGCAAATAGTCCAAAGTGACAAAAAGAACAAAAAAAGACCAATGTTATATCTTCCATAGGAGGCTTTTCTTTGTAGTAAAATAATATAGTTGCATTATTTACAAGAACAAGGTTTACAAGAACACAAATCAAATCCTTTATACTTCCTTCTTTGCTTCCATGCTGGGCTTCTTCCTCATGCAGACAAACTGCTTCAACCTGAGGCTTCTTTCACTGAAGCTTCTCACAGACTGAGGTTTACCTCACACTCCTCAGGCTTTGGCCTACTCACTCCCCTAAGGACGACACTAGCTTTGGCCCACTGACTGTCAGGCTTCGGCCTACTCACTCTCCTCAGGACGACACTAGCTTTGGCCCACTGACTCTAACAGGCTTTGGCCTACTCACTCTCCTCAGGACGACACTAGCTTTGGCCCACTGACTCTAACAGGCTTCGGCCTACTCACTCTCCTCAGGACGACACTAGCTTTGGCCCACTGACTCTAACAGGCTTCGGCCTACTCACTCCTCAGGACGACACTAGCTTTGGCCCACTGACTGTCAGGCTTCAGTACTCACTCTCCTCAGGACACTAGCTTTGGCCCACTGACTGTCAGGCTTCGGCCTACTCACTCTCCTCAGGACGACACTAGCTTTGGCCCACTGACTGTCAGGCTTCGGCCTACTCACTCTCCTCAGGACGACACTAGCTTTGGCCCACTGACTGTCAGGCTTCGGCCTACTCACTCTCCTCAGGACGACACTAGCTTTGGCCCACTGACTGTCAGGCTTCGGCCTACTCACTCTCCTCAGGACGACACTAGCTTTGGCCCACTGACTGTCAGGCTTCGGCCTACTCACTCTCCTCAGGACGACACTAGCTTTGGCCCACTGACTGTCAGGCTTCGGCCTACTCACTCTCCTCAGGACGACACTAGCTTTGGCCCACTGACTGTCAGGCTTCGGCCTACTCACTCTCCTCAGGACGACACTAGCTTTGGCCCACTGACTGTCAGGCTTCGACCTACTCACTCTCCTCAGGACGACACTAGCTTTGGCCCACTGACTGTCAGGCTTCGACCTACTCACTCTCCTCAGGACGACACTAGCTTTGGCCCGCTGACTGTCAGGCTTCGACCTACTCACTCTCCTCAGGACGACACTAGCTTTGGTCCACTGACAGTCAGGCTTCGGCCTAAGTCTCCTCAGGACGACACTAGCTTTGGCCCACTGACTGTCAGGCTTCGACCTACTCACTCTCCTCAGGACGACACTAGCTTTGGCCCACTGACTGTCAGGCTTCGACCTACTCACTCCTCAGGAGACACTAGCTTTGGCCCACTGACTGTCAGGCTTCGGCCTACTCACTCTCCTCAGGACGACACTAGCTTTGGCCCACTGACTGTCAGGCTTCGGCCTACTCACTCTCCTCAGGACGACACTAGCTTTGGCCCACTGACTGTCAGGCTTCGGCCTACTCACTCTCCTCAGGACAATACTAGCTTTGGCCCACTGACTGTCAGGCTTCGGCCTACTCACTCTCCTCAGGACGACACTAGCTTTGGCCCACTGACTGTCAGGCTTCGGCCTACTCACTCTCCTCAGGACGACACTAGCTTTGGCCCACTGACTCAGGCTTCGGCCTACTCACTCTCCTCAGGACAATACTAGCTTTGGCCCACTGACTGTCAGGCTTCGGCCTACTCACTCTCCTCAGGACGACACTAGCTTTGGCCCACTGACTGTCAGGCTTCGGCCTACTCACTCTCCTCAGGACAATACTAGCTTTGGCCCACTGACTGTCAGGCTTCGGCCTACTCACTCTCCTCAGGACAACACTAGCTTTGGCCCACTCACTCTCCTCAGGATGACACTAGCTTTGGTTGGCTCACATTTTTGTCATCAAAAATACCGAGTTGATTTTTAATATTTCTGACACCTTTTGGGGGCCAAAAAAAGAGTGCACTTTTTGCAGCTGTGCATGACATTTGCCAGCAAACTTTTTTTTTTTTTTGCTTCAGGGTTTTGAAAATGGGGGTGTGCCTTGGATTCAATGGCGCATTAGACTTGAGCCAGGGCTTCATCTCATTTGGGTGTTTCCTGAAGCCTTGTTCAGTCCCTCTTGGCTCAAAGTAATAAAATGGCAGGGAGGAGATTCCAGGTGACGTGAGTCACTGAGATGTTTGCCCTGTTCTTGGGTTGTTCTGCAGACACAGGGATATATGTTTAATGGCATTCAAAGCTTTTGTATTACTGTAACAGTGGAATCTTGTTTTGTCAAGTTTCCCCAGACAACTAGTAAGTCATTCGTGCGAGATAATGGTCAAACTAATATACTCAAGTTGCGTGATTAATTTGGCTGTGATAGGAAGTCTCCACCCTGTTGTCCTGAGAAGGAGGTCAATAGCACACACAAGAGAAGCTTATCCACAAGGGCAGCACAGAGTTGTTTGGGGTGGAGTAACCTTAGATTTTGGTCTTAAAAACAAGACAGTGAGGGATAGTGTTGCTTTGCACAACAGCTTCTCTTGCGAGCACCTGAGTAATGGAAATGTCCCAAAGAGCTCCTGGTGTGTGTTAATTAAAATGCTTGACGTATATGGTGTTGCTGGGTATGCTTCCCCTTTGTTTCTCCTCACCGAAGCTTCCTATTTAACTTTTTCTGGCCACTAGGGGAGCTGTCGCTTTCATCGTCCATCTGCAACGCTGATGAAGCACTTCCGCATTCCCCGCATGCTTCCCCGCTGGAATGCTTTGCTGGAGTCTACTTTATGGCCTCATAAATCAGTTAATTTAGCCTCCCCACACTTAAGGTGGTACCTAATTTTCCTACTTGACAGATGCAACTGTCTTTCGGGTTGCAAAGGTCGACAACAGGCTACACACAATTGGTTGGAAACCCACTCCAACCCGGGCTGGCTTCGAACTCATGACCTTTTGGTCAGAGTGATCTTAATGCAGCTGACAGCTGCGCCACAATCCCGGTGCTAGTCGGATAGACCAGGTTGGAGCCTACTGCTGGGTATTTGTCAGATGGGTAGATACATAAAAGGTTCTGGAGGGCGGGGGAATCTACCTTTGGAAGCTCAATTTGGAAAGCTCAGTTTTTCTGGGATGATCCCGTGTAGCAAGAAATAATAATAATTTATTTATTATTTATCGTGCCATCAGCAACCAGACATTTGTATTACATTTTTAACAAAAACAAACAGACAAAACACAGAATTTGCAAGCTTGGTAGTTGATTAAATGTCCTTTGACCAGTATCTGGCCATTTGGAGTGCCTCTGGTGTTGCCGCAAGGAGGTCCTCCATTGTGCATGTGGCAGGGCTCAGGTTGCATTGAATTATTTATTTATCGTGTCATCAGCAACCAGAACATTGTATTACATTTCTAACAGAACAAAACAAACAAACAGATTTAAAAAAACAAATTTTGCAAGCTTGGTAGTTGATTAAATGTCCTTTGACCAGTATCTGGCCACTTGGAGTGCCTCTGGTGTTGCTGCAAGAAGGTCCTCCATTGTGCATGTGGCAGGGCTCAGGTTGCATTGCAGCAGGTGGTCAGTGGTTTGCTCTTCTCCACACTCGCATGTCGTGGATTCCACTTTGTAGCCCCATTTCTTGAGGTTGGCTCTGCATCTCGTGGTGCCGGAGCGCAGTCTGTTCAGCGCCTTCCAAGTCGCCCAGTTTTCTGTGTGCCCAGGGGGGAGCCTCTCATTTGGTATCAGCCATTGATTGATGAGGTTCTGGTTTGAGCCTGCCACTTTTGGACTCTCGCTTGCTGGGGTGTTCCAGCGAGTGTCTCTGTAGATCTTAGAAAACTATTTCTTGATTTAAGTCGTTGACGTGCTGGCTGATACCCAAACAAGGGATGAGCTGGAGATGTCACTGCCTTGGTCCTTTCACGATTGGCTGCTACTTCCCGGCGGATGTCAGGTGGTGCAATACCGGCTAAACAGTGTAATTTCTCCAGTGGTGTAGGGCGCAGACACCCCGTGATAATGTGGCATGTCTCATTAAGAGCCACATCCACTGTTTTAGCGTGGTGAGATGTGTTCCACACTGGGCATGCATACTCAGCAGCAGAGTAGCATAGCGCAAGGGCAGATGTCTTCACTGTGTCTGGTTGTGATCTCCAGGTTGTGCCAGTCAGCTTTCGTATGATATTGTTTCTAGCACCCACTTTTTGCTTGATATTCAGGCAGTGCTTCTTGTAGGTCAGAGCACGGTCCAGAGTGACTCCCAGGTATTTGGGTGTACTGCAATAATAATATCATCATCATCATCATCATCATTATCATCTTTGTATTGGTGAAGGCTTTCATGGCCAGAATCACTGGGTTGTTGTGGGTTTTCCAGGCTGTAAGGCCATATTCCAGAAGCATTCTCTCCTGATGTTTCACACACATCTATGGCAGGCATCCTCAGAGGTTGAGAGGTCTGTTGGAAGTTAGGAAAATGGGGTTTATATATCTGTAGAATGTCCAGGTTGGGAAAAAGAACTCTGGTCTGTTGGAGGTAGGTGTGAATGTTTCAGTTGGCCATCTTGATTAGCATTTAATGGCCTGACAGTTTCATGGTCTGACTTCTTACTGCCTTGGGGGATCCTTTGTTGGGAGGTGATTAGCTGGCTCTGTTTGTTTCTTGTCTGGAATTCCCCTGTTTTTGAGTGTTATTCTTTATTTACTGTTGTGATTTTAGAGGTTTTTTTAGACTTTAAATGCTGGTAGCCAGATTTTGTTCATTTTCATGTTTTTTTCCTTTCTGTTGAAATTGTCCACATGCTTGTGGATTTCAGTGGCTTCTCTGTAGTCCGACATGGTGGTTGTTAGAGCAGTCCAGCATTTCTGTGTTCTCAAGGGAACATTTCTCCCATCCTGGACATTCCGCAGGTATATAAACCCCACTTCAGGGACAGGAAAAGCCCTCTGACTTAAAAACACATCACACGTTGAGTGAAGAAAACAATTCTTTTTGTTGAAGCTTAGTAAAACAGACAGTAGAAAGAAATGCCTGTAAGCAAATAGGAAAGTTCCAAAAAGTAAAACGTCAATAAAATGCAAAGCAATGTCCACAAAAGATATAAAAGCATTCCAAGGCAGTATTAATCCAGATAGGAATCCACAGGATGCAAAGACAATCCAGACGCTGCTAGTCAACACCAAAAGGCTAGAAGTATCTACAAGAACAAGACCCCTTAAACACGATATTCCAAACGATGCCTGATCTAATAGGTTTTCCCTTGAAGCAAACCTTATATCCCAAAACCCAGAAACTGGTTTAGTTTTCCCCCATTCTTGGCTCTTATCTGACGAAGTCTTTCGGAGCGACGTAAATCTTGAATTTGTTGTTGGTCTTGGCTGAACTCCAGCCGCCTTTTTTCAACTCCCTTTCTGGCTGCTCATTAAAATTTCCAGGTGTCAGATTGTTTTCCAAACCCAAATCTTGAGAGCTCACAGAGAGAGGGAGTAAACCATCATCCCTATGCCCAGCAGGAATATTCTCATGAGAAACTGCCCTTTGCACTGGGGCCTCTCTGTCATTGTCTGCATGAAAATCATTGACCAAACCATCTCCATCTTGCACCTCGGCCACCATCATTTCCCTCGTCGTATTGTCAAGGCTTTCATGGCTGGAATCACTCAGTTCTTGTGGTTTTTTCGGGCTATATGGCCATGTTCTAGAGGCATTTCTCCTGACGTTTCGCCTACATCTATGGCAAGCATCCTCAGAGGTGAGGTCTGTTGGAACTGGGAAAAAGAGTTTATATATCTGTGGAATGACCAGGGTGAGACAAAGGACTTTTGTCAGTTGGGTTAGGTGTGAATATTTCAATTGACCACCTTGATTAGCATACAATGGGCTGACTGTGCCTGGAGCAAACTCTTCTTGAAAGGTAATTAGATGTCCCTGGTAATTAGATTTCCCTCATCATTTCTCACAGCATTGCCCACATCAGAGGCATCATGATCCTGGAACACAAACACAGGCTGATTCCCAACACTTGCCTTGTTTCCAACAGATCTCACAACCTGTGAGAATGCCTGGCAAAATGTCAGGAGAGAATGCTTCTGGAAGAAGGCCATACAGGCCAGAAAACTCACAACAGCCCAATAAAGAGAATTATTTGTATCCTGCCTCTATCTCCCAAAAAAGGACTTGGTGGTGGCTAACAAGGCACTACAAGTGTAGCATGACCATCAACAGTACATGAGTATAGAACAATATCCCATAAAAGTTATAAACAACCACTATCAGCACATAAAATAACATAAAACACACAATTTAAAAACACTTTCCACAAATGGTTAAAACTAGCTGCCAGAAACGTATTTATACTTCCCCAGAAATTGAGGGCTTGTGACTTTACCAAGGGTCAGGGGCGGCTCAACCCATTACGCAAAGTAAGCATTTGCAGTATAGTTGATTTTGCCCAGGGGCGCTCTTGAGGCGCTCTGGGGAGAAAATAGACCTTGACATATGCGAGTTGTAGTTACTGGGATGTATAGTTCACCTATAATCAAAGAGCATTCTGAACTCCACCAATGATGGAATTGAACAAAATGGCACACAGAACTCCCACGACGAACAGAAAATATATATCAGTGATTGGTGGGGGGGGGGGGGGCACCAAAATACTGTTTGCTTACCATTGAAAATTACCTGGGGCCGCCTCTGCCAGGTAATTGTGTGTGACTTGGTTGTTTCTCCTCTTTGCAGATGACTTTTTTAAGGTCCACAAACTTAAGCCCAGTATGAAGTGGCGGCAAGCTTTGGACAACTACTTAAAAACCATGCCTCCTTACTACTTGCTGGTACGTATTTCCATCCATTTTGAGGGGGTCTAAACCAAATTGGTCACAGAACAGTTCAAGTACTGTAGAGTCTCGCTTATCCAACCTTTGCTCATCCAACGTTCTGTATTATCCAACACCCGGATCCACTGCTGTTTCAATACATTGCGATGTTTTGGTGCTAAATTCACAAATACAGTTATTACCACAGAACATTACCGTGTATTGAAATCCTTTTTTCTGTCGATTTGTTGTAAAACATGATGCTTTGGTGCTTAATTTGTAAAAATCATAACGTAATTTGATGTTGAATAGGCTTTTCCTTAATCGGGGTTGTTGTAGGTTTTTTCGGGCTATATGGCCATGTTCTAGAGGCATTCTCTCCTGATGTTTCGCCTGCATCTATGGCAAGCATCCTCAGAGGTAGTGAGTATTCTTGCCACACATCAAGGGAACCACTGAACGCAGAGGGAAACTGATGAGGAAACACAACATACAAACTATCTACAGACCCACCAAGAAATTCCAACAAATGCTACGTTCAGCAAAGGACAAGAGGGATCCTCTCACCTCAGCAGGGGTCTACCGTATACCATGCAGCTGTGGACAAGTTTACATAGGGACCACCAAACATGAATCAAGGAACATGAAAGGCACTGCAGACTACTTCAACCAGAGAAGTCAGCCATAGCAGAGCACCTGATGAACCAACCTGGACACAGCATATTATTTGAGAACACAGAAATGCTGGACCACTCTCACAACCACCATGCGAGACTACACAGAGAAGCCATTGAAATCCACAAGCATGTGGACAATTTCAACAGAAAGGAGGAAACCATGAAAATGAACAAAATCTGGCTACCAATATTAAAAAAACTCTAAAATTACAACAGTAAAACAGCAGAGAGTAAACAATCAGGGACATTTATTTATTATTTATTTACTTCATTTATGTACTGCTTTTCTCAGCCCTCAGGCGACTCAAAGCGGTTAACAGCAGCAAAATTCAATGCAAAAACATCATAACAATTATGGGACAGTTAAAACAATAGCATCACCAACAATTAAGCATCAATATAACAATCATTAGCATCTCATCAGTAAAATCAGAATCCAATCTCATCCGTTAATCTGTGTTCCTATATTCATTACACTGCTTAGTCGAATGCTTGTTCGAACAGCCAGGTCTTCACTTTCCTCCGAAACACCAATAGGGAGGAGGCCAATCTGATATCTGTAGAAAGGGCGTTCCATAGCAGAGGGGCCACCACTGAGAAGGCCCTGTCTCTCGGTCCTGCCAGGCGTGCCTGTGATGTAGGCGGGACTGAGAGCAGGGCCTCCCCAGATGATCTTAATGTCCTAGTTGGTTCATAGGAGGAGATGCGTTCGGAGAGGTAAGTAGGGCCAGAACCGTTTAGGGCTTTATAGGCTAACGCCAGCACTTTGAATTGTGCCCGATAGCAAACTGGTAGCCAGTGGAGCTGGCGCAACAGAGGAGTTGTATGCTCCCTGAGTGTCGCTCCTGTTATCAACCTGGCTGCCGAGCGTTGGACCATTTGAAGCTTCCGAGCAGTCTTCAAAGGCAACCCCACGTAGAGAGCGTTGCAGTAGTCTATACGGGATGTAATCAGAGCGTGGACTACCGTGGCCAAGTCAGACTTCCCACATCTCATCACCTCTCAACAAAAGATTGCTCCAGGCACTTCCAGGCTATCAAATGCTAATCAAGGCGGTCAGTTGAAACATTCACCAAGCTCCAGCAGACAAGAGTCCTTGACCAGGGTGGGACAAAGGACTCTTGTCTGCTGGAGCTAGGTGTGAATGTTTCAACTGACCGCCTTGATTAGCATTTAATAGCTTGGCAGTGCCTGGACCAATCTTTTGTTGAAAGGGGATTAGATGTCCCTGATTGTTTTCCCTCTGCTGTTTTGCTGTTTTAATTTTAATATCTACAGATATATAAACCCATTTTCCTAGTTCCAACAGACCTCACTACCTCTGAGGATGCTTGCCATAGATGCAGGCGAAACGTCAGGAGAGAATGCCTCTAGAACATGGCCATATAGCCCGAAAAAACCTACAACAATCCAGTGATTCCGGCCATGAAAGCCTTCGACAATACATTTCTCTTAATCCTTATTATCCAACATTTCTGCTTATCCAATGTTCTGCCGGCCCGTGGTGTTGGATAAACGAGACTCTACTGGAATAATATTCCCTTGCCGGGTGGCTTAGTACTTACCAAATACAAAGTGGGCATCTCTTAATAAATGTGTCTTCAGAGTTATCTGCCCATTTCTGGTTGGGTCAAGCAGCTGGTCACTTCTGTGCCACTGCTAGTAATAAAGGGCCAGTTCTTAGCATGACCTTCTTTGCCAAAAACGAAAGGAAAGGTGTCGGCACGGGATGGGAGGAAGGGGAACGGTTTGGGTCAGTTGTGGGGTCCATGACCTGCCTAGCGTGGGCGCGATGCCCCAGTATGGACTTGCATCATCCCGGCAATCAGTCTCTGGCCTTTTGTGCATAAACTGCTGGCGGTGCCCGGTTGTGCGGTGCCCAGCACGTGGCATCCATCTTGAAGCCCACCTACCACCGGATGCTCTCTTTGCTTTCCTTCCCCCTTGAAAAAAAAAAGTGGCATGCTGGAGCACCGACTCTGCCGTGCCCTTCGCGTCCCGTTATTCCGATCTGTGAGACTACTTCTTCTAAACAAACAAACAAATAAACAAAAACTTTGACAACTAATTAAAACAAAAATCGATACTTTTCTTACCCTTGTGTATTTTGTTTTCCTTATAGCCATTAAAGAAAGCCCTAAGGATGATGGGAGCTCCAAATCTGATATCAGATAATTTAGATTGTGGACTTAGTTACAGTGTTATCTCTTACCTTAAAAAACTCAGCCAACAGGTAGTATCGACAAAACCTTTGCCATTAGAAGTACATTGATGATGATGATGATGATTTTTTTAGTTTTTGTTTTGCTTTGGTTATATATGTTTTGCTTTCCAAAACATCTGGAAAGTAATATTGCACAAGGATTCTCTTATATTAAGGTTAAACAATCTTTCTTTGTGGTGATGGGTACACGTTACTGGAGAAGACAACCATTTGGTTATTTCTGCAGTGCATGCTGGGGTTTTGTGGTGTGAACTCTGGTGCCAGGGGAGGGAACGTCTGTGCATTTTTGCCAATTGTTTAAAGCAGTGTAATTTGTATTCTTAGTGGCAGGAGGCCATGCTTCTGTCTATATAGAGGTGGTTCTCAACCTGGTGTCCCCAGATGTTTTTGGCCTACAACTCCCAGAAATCCCAGCCAGTTTACCAGCTGTTAGGATTTCTGGGAGTTGAAGGCCAAAAACATCTGGGGACACCAGGTTGAGAACCACTGGTCTATAGACATGTTTATATAACGCTATGAAACACGAGCATCGGTGGCTGTCCAAGTGTTTGTAAGCTCCCAACTTGACTAATACTGGTTAAGGGTTGGATGCCAAAACATCTGGAAAGCTGTTGTCGAAGGCTTTCATGGCCAGAATCACTGGGTTACTGTGAGATTTCCGGGCTGTAGGGCCATGTTCAAGAAGCATTCTCTTCTGCTGTTTTGCCCACATCTATATAAATAAAAATGTAATGTTCGTTTGTGGGATTAACATAACTCAAAAACCACTGGGGGAATTGACACCAAATTTGGACACAAAACACATAACAACCCAATGTATGTCCTTCACTTGTTGCGTAGGGACAACTTTAGGAAAAACAAGTGGAAGATTCAGTACGGGCTGTGCCTCCTTTCTTGCATTTGGTCTTCCCTTTATGTGGCCTAGTGAGATGATAGATTTCTGATGCGCAGAAGTGAAGAATTCTAAAAGGCATTTTAGTTGTCTTTTTAAGCCTCTATCATATTTAAAATACCGTATATACTCAAGAATAAGCTGGAGCCCCCGGTGGTGCAGTGGGTTAAACCCTTATGCCAGCAGAACTGAAGACTGACAGGTCGCAGGTTCGAATCCGGGGAGAGGAGGATGATCTCCCTCTATCAGCTCCAGCTCCATGCGGGGACATGAGAGAAGCCTCCCACAAGGATGATTAAAAAAACATCAAATCATCCAGGCGTCCACTGGGCAACATCCTTGCAGACGGCCAGTTCTCTCACACCAGGACACGACAAAAAAAAAAAAAAGCTGACCCAAATATAAGCTGAGGCATATACTCGAGTATAAGTTGACCCGAATATAAGTCGAGGCACCTAATTTTACCACAAAAAACTGGGAAAATGTATTGACGTCAAAGCCTGAATGGATCAAAGTGACTTTGTCCACAAAGAACTGAACAAATGTTTCACAGCTGGCTGCCAAGTCGTCAGGGGACCCATCCTGCAAGGTGGGGTTCAAAAACCCTCTAACTACTTCGAACAGCTCCGCTGGATGGTTCTTTGCAGATGCAATATTGGCCTCAAAGAAGGATTTCTTTGCGGCTTCTATTGCTGCGGCATATACCCTTAGATAGAGGTACAGCCGTGTTTGGTTTGATTCGTTAGGTCTTTTCCGCCACACACACTCTAGCCTCCTCTTTGTTCGCTTCATCGCTGCTAGTCCTTCGTTAAACTAAGGAGCTGGTTTAGCTCGGCTACTCAAGAGGGGATGTTCCAGAGCAATCATGTCTATTGCTCTATCTCCCCATTCCACAGAGAGACCAGGGCATCAACAGAATCACCTACGGAGGTGGCAGGAAAATCCCCAAGAGCCGCCAGGAATCCATCTGGATCCATAAACTTCCTGGGGCGGACCATCTTAATCGGTCCTCCACCCCTGCAGAGGTTAGGGGGCGCAGTAAGTCTAAACCTGATTGGTTGATGGTTGGTCCATGGCAACGGAGCGATGGTCAGCTCCTCCACACCGCCACCTTCCTCCCATCCCTGGCAGACAACCAAATCGAAAGTGTCCAGCACTGTGGGTAGGGCCAGCTACTAATTGGGACACCTCCATGGTTTCCATGAAGTCCTGAGCTGTTCCAGAAAGAGTGGTCTCTGAATGATCATTGAAGCCCCTCAGCACGAAACATTTCTCTATATATAGATAATTATATCTATATAGCATTTGCAAAGGCTCGCAAACATGTGAGGGGAAAATTCATATGTGAAAATAATGTATATATAGATATAGATAAACAGGTACATGGAAATCTCTAGATCAGTGGTTCTCAACCTTCCTAATGCCGCGACCCCTTAGTACAGGTCCTCATGTTTGTGGTGACCCCCAACCATAACGTTATTTTCGTTGCTACTTCATAACTGTCATTTTGCTACAGTTATGAATCGTAATGTAAATATCTGATATGCAGGATGTATATTCAGTCACTGTACCAAATTTGGCACAAATACCCAATATGCCCAAATTTGAATACTGGTAGGGTTGGCGGTGATTGATTTTGTCATTTGGTAATGCTGGAGTTGCTGGGATTTATAGTTCACCTAAAATCAGAGAGCCTCTGAACTCCACCAATGATGGAATTGAATCAAACTTGGCACACAGAATTCCCATGACCAAGAGAAAACACTGGGAAGGTCTGGTGGACGTTGTCATTGAGTTTTTGGAGTTGTAGTTCACCTACATCCAGAGAACTGTGGACTCAAGCAATGATGGATCTGGATCAAACTTGGCACAAATACTCAATATGCCCAAATGTGAACACTGCTAAAGTTTGGAGAAAATAGACCTTGCCATTTGGGAGTTGTAATTGTTGGGATTTATAGTTCACCCACAATGAACCCCACCAACGATAGAATTGGACCAAACTTTCCACACAGAACCCCCATGACCAACAGAAAATGCGATGTTTTCTGGTGGTCTTTGGCGACCCCTCTGGCACCCCCTCGCGACCCCCCCAGGGGTCCCGACCCCCAGGTTGAGAAACACTGCTCTAGATATCTATATGTATATAGGATTTGCAAAGACCTGCAAACATATGAGAGGAAATCTGTATATAAAATTAAGGTACATCGATAGTTACTGATATGGAGGTACATAGGGATTGCAAAGACTTGCAGGGGGAAATGCCTATATACCTGTAAGAGAGATTAACAAATATTTCCAGAGAAAATGCTTTTATAAGATTAATGGCTATTTCTGACTTGCAAAGGCTTCTCTCCCTCTCCAGCGAGAATTTTGAAAAGAAAACACACTCTTTCAGGAGGGGAAGAGGAGAGAGAAATAAATCATATATTGCAAGCAATGGCTTCCAGGCTTTGCTGCCCGGCTTGACCCCATTATAAACCGAGGGAGGCTTTTTCCGCCCCAAAAAAGTCTGAAAAACTCAGCTTATCTTTGAGTATATATGGTAGATTGGGCATTAACCAAAGAGCGAACCCACTGGATGATTTTCCTTCTGTGTTCTCTCAAGACTGCCATGTTACAAACCCCCATAAAGTCATATAACGCTATGTAAACAGATTTCATAATTTCTGTTCCCACTGTATCCTGGCTGTAAGCGTTTGTAATCCACAGTAAGCCTCTATTGAGCTGTTTTCTTTCTATAGGAAAGCATTATAATTGCATGTAAAGTCCTCTTCAGATGTGACTGGCAGTGAACTAAGAGTAAAAATGGGAGCTCTGTCTTGTGACGAAATACTTGAGCTTTTAGGAAGTATTGCTATTGCTTCTTGCCATTTTTAATAACTTCCAGGTGCATTCATTTTGGACTAAAAGGCATCTTTATGGCCAGTTTTGAAAATGCCTTACATTATGTACAGCCTTCTACATGATTGTTGATAGTGTTTTTGCTTTAGAAGCAATTTCTCTTGACATTAAGGAGAGGGAGGATCTGGCTGATGATGTAGTTGGAATGTAAGTTTGTATTGTGGGAAAGGACTCGGGTGCCGTTCCCTTCCCTTCAATGCGCTGTGTCCGTTTCAACTGCAGACGAAAACGGAGTCGGAGCGGATAATCTCTTCGGTGGGGAAGAAGCCGCCCCAAGAGACGGGCATTAAAGTCAAAAGCCACTCCAGCGGTCTCTCCTTGATCCAGAGCCGGGATTTCAAGCAGCTGCTTCAAGGCATCTCGGGGGAATCGCCGCTCAGGCTGCCTGAGATGAGCGTGAAGGAATTTGCTGGGTTCCATATAGGGCTCTTGAACAAGGTAAATGCCAGAGAAAGCTCGGTTGGACTTTTCGGGTTTTGTCGGGGCCACACAGGGGCAGTTCAACCCATTACACAAAGTAAGCTGGCGGGGACGAGAGATAGGGCCTTCTCGGTGGTGGCTCCTCGGCTGTGGAACGCCCTTCCTACGGACATTAGACTAGCACCATCTCTAATGGTATTCCGCAGGAAAGTGAAGACCTGGTTGTTTGAGCAGGCGTTCGAATAATTAGTGCAATGATTGGTTAATGAACATTGGAACGGAATAATGGATGACGAATCTGGATCATGTTTCTGATGATGAGACGATAGCGAATAGTGAATGGTTACTGTAGTAATTGTTTATTAATCATGTAATTATGTTAGGTTGTTAACTGTTTTTACACTGTAGCATTGAATTTTTGCTGTTCTTGCTGTTGTGAACCACTGTGAGTCGCCTTCGGGCTGAGAACAGCGGTATAGAAGCAAAGTAAATAAATAAATAAAGTAGAGTTCATTTTGCCCAGAGGTGCTCTTGAGGCGCTCTTGGGGGAAAATACACCTTGAAGCCTGATCTGGCCACGGTGGTCCACGCTCTTGTTACATCCCGAATAGACTACTGCAACGCACTCTACGTGGGGTTGCCCTTGAAGACTGTTCGGAAACTTCAACTGGTCCAGCGAGCGGCAGCCAGACTGCTCACCGGAGCATCATACAGGGAGCACACCACCCCCCTGCTGTGTCAGCTCCACTGGCTGCCGGTTCAGTTCCGAGCACAATTCAAGGTGCTGGTTTTGACCTACAAAACCCTACACGGTTCCGATCCAGCGTATGTGTCCGAATGCATCTCCCTCTACATCCCACCTCGGAGTTTGAGATCATCTGGGGAGGCCCTGCTCTCGACCCCACCACTATCACAAGTGAGGTTGGTGGGGATGAGGAGCAGGGCCTTCTCAGTGGTGGCCCTTCACCTATGGAACTCGCTCCCGGGGGAAATTAGGTCATCAACATCCCTCCTCTCCTTCAGGAGGAAATTAAAAACGTGGTTGTGGGACCAGGCCTTCGGGCAATCTGATAACTAGATAAAGACAATTAGATGACTAGGACTGACAGGACTGACAAAGTGGAATTGGAATTTGGACTATGAGATGGCGAACGCTGAACATTAATTAGGTGAAATCGGTTTTATTGGTTTTATTGTTGCAGTGCAGAAACTGATTGTTAATTGTTTAATTGCTGCTATATTGTTTTTATTCTACTGTTATGTTGATGCCGGCATCGAATTGTGCCTTTGTAAGCCGCCCTGAGTCCCCCTCTGGGGTGAGAAGGGCGGGGTAGAAGTAACCGAAATAAATAAATAAATAAATATGCGAGTTGTAGTTACTGGGATGTATAGTTCACCTACAATAAAAGAGCATTCTGAACTCCACCAATGATGGAATTGAACCAAATATGGCACACAGAACTCCCACGACAAACAGAAAATATATATCAGTGATTGGTTGGGGGCGGGGGGGGGGCAAAATACTGTTTGCTTACCATTGAATATTGTCTAGGGCCGCCTCTGGGGCCACATAACCAATGTTCACCCTCTTTGCCCCCCCAAAATCAGGATCTGAAGCCGCAAGCCTACAGGAATGCTTATGATATTCCCCGGCGCAATCTTCTGGACCAGCTGACCCGGATGAGGACTAACCTTCTGAAAACACACAAGCTGATTCTAGGCCAGGATGAAGGTATGGGAGGGAGGCTCCAGTTTTGACCCCTTTCTGAACAGTTTGAGTCACACAGCTCATGACTCATCCTAGCCAGGTTTTAAATATTCCCAGAATCCCTTGGAGATGGACATTTTATCTCTGTTGGGTGGAAGTTAGACTTCTAACCCATGGATTTAGGATTCTATAGTCCTGAATCCTATCATGAAGCAGCTGTAAATGGGCTTGTTTGAGTACTTTGACCACTCCCTTCCTAAAACTTTCCAAGGAAAGTAATTCTATATCTGTTTCACATAGTTCCCGGGTGTGTCCTATAACACTATGTAACAAAATTTGAAAAAAAATGTTCTGTTCCTTGTTTATATGTCACTGTTGATTGTTTATTGCTTATTTTTTGTTCATGTGATTTATATGATTTGTATTTTATTGATTGTTTTATTGATGTTTTGCTTGGCCTCATGTAAGCCGCACCGAGTCCCTTGGGGAGATGGTAGCGGGGTAGAAATAATAATAATAATAATAATTATTATTATTATTATTATTATTATTATTATTATTATTATTCCTGGTTTGAAAGTGTTAATTGTGCAGTCCTTACATTGAAAGTAGAGGTTCTAGTCTTTTTTTGTGGCTGCCGCAAACTAGGTTGAATTGACTAAGACTCTAGGCCAGGCCTGGGCAAACTTTCTAACTTGCGGGCCACATGCTAGCACTTCCTCTAGGATGGAAGGAAGGAAGGAAAGAGAAGGAAGGAAGGAAGGAAGAAAAGGGCAAAGGGGAGGATGGAAGGAGAAAGAGGAAATGTGGGAAGGAGGGAAAGACAAAAGAGAAGGAAAGAAGGATGAAAGGTGGGAGGGAAGGATGGAAGGAAGGAAAGACAAAAGGGAAGGAAGGAATAAGAAAGATTGAGAGAGGGAGGAAAGAGAGGTAAGGAAGGAAGGCCAAAAGTGTGGGAAGGACGAAAGGGTGGAAGTGGAGGATGGAAGGAATGGAGTGAATGAGAAAATTGTAAAGGAAGGAAGAAAGAAAGAAGGAAAGACAAAAGGGAAGGAAAGAAGGATGAAACGTGGGAGGGAAGGATGGAAGGAAGGAAAGAAAAAGGGAAGGAAGGAAGAAAGGGAAGGAAAGGAAGGAATGAGAAAGAGGGAGAGGAGGAAAGAGGGAAGGAAGGAGAAAAGGATGGAAGGGAAGGACGGAAGGAGAAATAGGGAGGGGAGGGAGGAGGAAGGAAAGAGACAAGGGAGGGAAGGACAAAAGGGAAGGGGAGGATGGAGGAAGGGTGGAAGGAATGGAGTGAAAGAGAAGGGTGGGAAGGGGAGAAAAGAAAGAAGGAAAGACAAAAGGGAAGGAAGGAGAGAGGGAGAGAGGGAAGAAAGGAGGGGAGAAGGGAAGGAAGGGGGAGGGAAGGAAGGGGAAGGAAGGAGGGGGGAGGGAAGGAAAGGAAGGAAGGAAAGACAAAAGGAAGGAAGGAGAAAGGGGGGGAGAGAAGAAGGACGAAAGGGTGGGAGGAAGGATGGAAGGAGAAAAGGGAGGGGGGGAGGTAAGGAGGAAGGAAGGAAGAGAAGGAAGGAAAGACACAAGGGAGGGAAGGACGAAAGGGTGGAAGGGGAAGATGGAAGGAAGGGTGGAAGGAATGGAGTGAAGGAGAAAATGGGAAGGGAGAAAAGAAAGAAGGAAAGACAAAAGGGGAGGAGGGAAGTGGAGAGAGGGAAGGACAAAAAGGTGGATGGGAAGGAAGGGTGGAAGGGAATGGAGGGAGGGGAGGGAGGAATAGGAATGAAGGAAAGACAAAATGGAAGGAAGGAGAAAGAGGGGGAGAGAGAAGAAAGGATGAAAGGGTGAGAGGAAAGGAGGGAGGTGAGGAATGAAGGAAAGACGAAAGGGTGGAAGGGAAGGAGAAAGAGGAAGGGAAGAGAGAAGGAAGGAACAATAGGAATGGTGATAAAGGGAAGGGCTTGAAAAAAGAGCACAAGGGGCCACATCTGGCCCCCGGGCCCGGATTTACCCATACATGCTCTAGTAGATATTCATTGAAAAACTAGAGCAAAATGTGCTTCAGGACATCCAAGGTTTTTATGTCTGATAGGACAATTACGACATGACCTTTATAATTACGACATGACCTTTATTATAACCCAGGAACAAAAAAATGTGGGATTGCGTGTTTAGTTCTATATAGATTTTTGGTTTTATGCTTTGCCCGTTCTGTAGTTTATGTTGGAAGGCAATAGAATTACAGTCCGTCTTGCCACTGATGAAGACACCAATATACAGTATTACTGTTACTGTGAAACTTTATTTGTACCCTGCTACCATCTCCCCATGGGACTCGGTGTGGCTTACATGAGGCCGAGCCCACAATAGCAACAATAATACAACAATAAATAAAGCTCATAAACAGAAAATAGCAATAAACATTAACAATAACACAGCGATGTTTAAAAATCTATGGCAGGGCGAAATGTACTAATTAAAATTTAAAAAAATAATGCTGCGCATGACCAGGTGACATATAAACAGGATAGAAATTTTGGAGAGGGATAGAGTGTGCAGACAATCCTAGATCACTACTAAAGTGCGTTTAGGGACATATTGCTGGGAGTTTCCTTATTCTGGGAAGGCACACTGGAACACTGTTATTACTGGGGATCACTGTGGAACCTGGAGGACTGTAGGATTGGATTTTAGGAACATTTGAGTCCAGTTTTTTTCTGATTTTGTTGCTGTTGCAGATTGCCTTCACAGTGTCCCTGTGGCTCAGATGGGGAATTACCAGGAATACCTGAAGTTGATGCCTTCCCCACTTCGGGAAATCGACCCCGACCAACCCAAAAGGCTCCATACTTTTGGGAACCCTTTCAAGCAGGACAAGAAGGTAGGTAGCTTTCGAGAGGCATGGGGAACCATGGGCCCTCCCTCCTGAGGCTGTTGGGAATTGTGGGAGCTGGAGTCCAAAACACCCAGAGGGCTGAAGTTTGCTTATGCCTGCTTTAAACACATCCTGCTCCTAAATGGATCTGCTCTTCCTGTTGTTTACTGTTGCCTTGGTGTTTTTTCCGCCCAGGGAATGATGATTGATGAAGCGGACGAGTTTGTGGCCGGTCCCCAGAACAAGATCAAGCGTCCCGGCGAGCCCAACACCCCAGCCTTCCTCAAGCGGAGGCGCAGCATGTCTCCGCTTCTTCGGCGGCCCCAGTCTCCTCCCGTTGTGGCCAACCATGTCGCGGGGAAGGGGCCTCTGGTCCCCGCAGGGTCCCCTGCCAACCCCRGCCTTAAAGCCGCACCAGCGTTCAAAGGTGACTTGAGAGTTATGGTTCCGGCCTCTTCTGCCTTTATCCTTTAGTTAGTTTGTTTTTTTAACTATTATTTTTATTTTAAAAGATGTTTTACACCCTCCCCCCCCCCCCAGACATACAATAAACATACAATAAACCATAGAAATTACATTTGAAATATCAGCCTTAATACAATCTCTAACTGGAACAGCGCTCGATGCAGTCATACTGGCCACATGACCTTGGAGGTGTCTATGGAYAACGCTGACTCTTCGGCTTAGAAATTGAGATGAGCACCACACTGCAGAGTCGGACACAACTGGACTTAATGTCTGGGGACAACCTTTACCTTTACTTAAACCATAGAAATTACATTTGAAATATCAGCCTTAATACAATCTCTAACTGGAACCCATAAACTCTTAATTACTGTATGTACTGGATTATAAGCCGATCCAAATATAAGCTGAAGCACCTTATTTTACCACCAAAAAACTGGGAAAACTTATTGACTCGAATATAAGCCGTGGGTGAGAAATGCAGCAGCTACTGGTAAGTTTCAAAATAAAAATAGATACCAATAAAATTACATGAATTGAGGCATCCGTAGGTGAAATGTTTTTGAATTTTTATGTAAAACTAATTTAAGATAAGACGGTCAAACTCTGATAAAACTATTATTCTAACCTCCTTCAATGTAAATGCGCTTACGTATACTTCCAATAACAATAGAGTAAAATAATAAATGCAATAAAAATAACAATAATAGAGTAAAATAATAAATGTAATAATAACAATAATAGAGTACAATAAAGGTAATATAAATAATAAGAGTAAAATAATAAATGTAATAAAATAATAGGGTGAAATAATAAATGTAATAATAATAATAATAGAGTAATAATAGAGTAATAATGGAATAAACAAGGTAAATAGAGTAAACTAAAGGTAATATAAATAATAAGAATAAAATAATAAAGGTAATATAAATAATAAGAATAAAATAATAAATGTAATAAAATAATAATAATAGAGTAAAATAATAAATGTAATAATGCTTGGAGTTTCCTATTCTGGGAAGGCACACTGGAACAACCACGTCTTCAAGCTCTTCCTAAAGACTGCCAATGTTGGGGCTTGTCTGATGTCCTTTGGGAGAGAGTTCCAGAGTCGGGGGGCCACCACGGAGAAGGCCCTGTCCCTCGTCCCCACCAGTCGCGCTTGCGACGCAGGTGGGATCGTGAGCAGGGCCTCTCCAGATGAATGGAGGGATCGTGTGGGTTCATATACGGAGATGCAGTCACGTAGGTAGGTGGGTCCCGTTTAGGGCTTTGTAGGTAAGCACCTGCATCTTAAATTGGGACCGGAAAATGAGCGGCAGGAGGGACATACATTGATCAATACATACATTGATAAGCAAAAGAACCATTATAGTGCAATTAGACATAAGACAGTGCATAATAACAATATTAAAAGCTAAAAACTATATCCTCTCATTCAAGTCCTCATTTGTGTGGTCTATATTAGCTGCCCATTAATCTTGAGCCTTCTTTGCAGTGCTTTTCTGCTTTTTGGGGTATGTCAGTGTAAAGCCCTTTTTAAATTACAGATGCAAACAGCAATATGGTGCAAGAAGGCAATGGGGATAAGAAGTTGGAGACCCTCCAGTCGCCAGAGGGGCCGGGCGAAGGGCTACCCTCCCTCTTGGCTCCGGTGACCCCCACGAGGGATGAGGACCTGACCAACGACGTAGACGCCTTTCCTGGAGAGTTGAACTGCCTCGGGGAGGACGGCCTGGACCACCGGCCGCTGACCAACTCCCTTTCCGCTCGGAGCCCAGTGAACTACAGCGATGCTGCGGCCGAGGACCCGAAGCTCACGGTGGAGCTGCCCTCGGGGACGGTCCCCAACTCTGTGAAGATCACACCCAGCATGTTTGAAGGCAACAATGAAGTGATCAAGATCAAAGTCATGAAGGAGGTCCGCAAGCCCGGGAGAAGTGAGTGCTGCCCAACGACGAGGGCCTTTCAGGGAAGTCGGAGAAGCCTCTGCTTGATATGCAGAGCTCTGTGTTTTCCATCTGTTGAGGTTTGCCGTGGCAGTTTTGAGGATCTTCACAGATTGGATCATGCCTTTCCTTGAAACAGGCAGCAAATTGATCCATCTGTAGACAAGTCATACTTTAATCAAACTCAATAATAACACTGTATAACAAAATTTGGAAAAAAAATCTGTTCCTGGTTTGAAACTGCTATTTCCTGTTTGGTTGTGCAATTCTTACTTGGTTCTACTCCAGAAACTTGGTTGTTTTGGGGTCTGTCACAAACTACCATATGTCCTCCCTCGAGTATAAGCCTATTCGAGTTTAAGCCCCCTTTTAAAGCTGGAAAAGCTCCCCATGGCTTATACTTACTTACTTATGTGATCCCTCTTTGGCCGAGTAGGATAGTCTTCCAGGAACAGTGTTCTGGTGGGTCTGTAGGTGACTGTGGAGCCTTATTCTTGACTTGCATCTTCTCCCGCAGTGAGGGCATTGGTTTCCAGGTGGAAGGCGGTTTCGGTCAGGGTTATATAATAATAATAATTATTGGCTTGACGCGCCTTCCTCTTGGCACGTTTCTTTCTCCCTCCATTCGTGCCTCTTTAAGTCCTGCAGCACTGCTGGTCACAGCTGACTTCCAGCTGGAGTGCTCAAGGGTCAGGACTTCCCAGTTCTCAGTGTCTATGCCAGAGTTTTTAAGGTTGGCTTTGAGCCCACCTTTAAATCTCTTTTTCTGTCCACCAACATTCCGTTTTCCGTTTATGAGTTCGGAGTAGAGCAGCTGCTTTGGGAGACGGTGGTCAGGCATCTGGACAACGTGGCTGGTCCAGCGGAATTGATGGCGACGGACCATCGCTTCAATGCTGGTGGTCTTTGCTTCTTCCAGCACGCTGATGTTTGTCCGCTTGTCTTCCCAAGAGATTTGCAGGATTTTCCGGAGGCAGCGCTGATGGAATTGTTCCAGGAGTTGCATGTGATGTCTGTAGACAGTCCACGTCTCGCAGGCATATAGCAGGGTTGGGAAGACAGTAGCTTTATAGACAGGCACCTTGGTATCCCTACGGATGTCCCAGTCCTCAAACACTCTCTTGTCTTCCAAAATGATTTGCAGGATTTTCCGGAGGGAGCACTGATGGAATTGTTCCAGGAGTTGCATGTGACGTCTGTAGACAGTCCACGTTTCGCAGGCATATAGCAGGGTTGGGAGGACAATAGCTTTATAAACAAGCACATTGGTATCTCTACGGATGTCCTGGTGCTCAAACACTCTCTTGTCTTCCCAAGAGATTTGCAGGATTTTCCGAAGGCAGCGCTGATGGAATCGTTCCAGGGTTGGGAGGACAATAGCTTTATAAACAAGCACCTTGGTCTTTTCGGGCTGTATAGCCATGGTCTAGAGGCATTTTCTCCTGACGTTTTGCCTGCATCTATGGCAAGCATCCTCAGAGGTAGTGAGGTCTGTTGGAAGTAGGAAAATGGGTTTATATATCTGTGGAATGACCAGGGTGGGACAAAGGACTCTTGTCTGTTGGAGCTAGGTGTGAATGTTTCAACTGACCACCTTGATTAGCATTTGATGGCCTGGCAGTGCCTGGGGAAATGTTTTGTTGAGAGGCGATTAGATGTGCCTGATTGTTTCCTTTCTGTTGTTTTCACGCCTAGCTCCAGCAGACAAGAGTCCTTTGTCCCACCTTGGTCATTCCACAGATATATAAACCTTTTTTCCTAGTTCCAACAGACCTCACTACCTCTGAGGATGCTTGCCATAGATGCAGGCGAAACGTCAGGAGAGAATGCCTCTAGACCGTGGCCATACAGCCCGAAAAAACCTACAACAACCCAGATGTAATAATAATAGAGAAAAGTAATAAATGTAATAAAGATAATAATAGAGAGAAATAATGTAAATGTAATAATAATAATAATAATAATAGAGTAAAATAATAAATGTAATAAAATAATAAAGTAATGTAAATGTAATAATAATAATAGTAATTGAGTAAAATAATAAATGTAATAGTAATAATAATAACAGAGTAAAATAATAAATAACCTTGACTCGAGTATAAGCCAAGGGGAGCTTTTGCAGCCTAAAAAAGGGGCTGAAAACTCAACTTACAGTCGAGTATATACGGTATTTGGACTTGTGGACATTGAAATCCAAACGTCTGGAGAGCAAAGGCTAAGAACTATTGCTTTAGGTAGCCGTGAAGTGATTTGGAAAAGATGTTGATCATTTGCAGTAAATGCATCTGAGAATAAATGCAGTAGCAGGAGAGGGAGCTTCTATACAAAGCGAATGCACCATTTTGTATATGTAAGTTACGTCTCCCTGGACTTCTTGGTAATTTCCTGCCCTAGAATAGGTAAGATTCTCAAATCAGGTCAATACAAAGTCAGGATGGGTTAGTTAGTGTCTTCATCTCTAGATGGTCATCAATAGGCCTAATCCTTAGAAGATGTTAAGTATCACAAAGGAGAGAGGAATGGATCTGTGACTATTCAGGCAGTTAGTGTTAGCAAAGGCAAACACTGGGAGTAGAACACTGGGAGTACACTGGGAAAAGCAGGTGTTGGAAAGTGAACTTTGTGTGTGCGTATAGCCTCTCTAGCATTGCCAAGATCGTAATGTTTTCCATCTTGTCTTTGTGATTGTAGACTATGAGAAAATATTTTCTCTGCTTGAAGAAGTGCAAGGCCCCGCTGCTGTTCAAAAATATTTCATTGAATTTGCGATCAAAGAAGCAGCAAGGTTTGTATCAAGACGATGTTTGGGAAATTTCGTGCCGACGTGTTCGCGTTTCTCAACCTGGGGGTCGGGACCCCTGGAGGGGTCGTGAGGGGTTGTCAGAGGGGTCGCCAAAAACCACCAGAAAGTATTTTCCATTAGTCATGGTGGGTTCTGTGTGGGAAGTTTGGCCCAATTCTATTGTTGGTGAGGTTCAGTATGCTCTTTGATTGTAGGTGAACTATAAATCCCAGCAACTACAACTCACAAATATCAAGGTCTATTTTCCCCAAACGCCACCAGTGTTCACATTTGGGCATGTTGAGGATTTGTGCCGTTTGTGGACGCAAACACTCCATCATGGTTTGAGTCCACAGTGCTCTCTGGATTGTAGGTGATTTAGGCAGATTTAGGGTGGATAGGTCTAAGATACATAGGTAAAATGGGGGATGGGGGGTGGAGTCCATATGGGGGGAGCTTTGTCTTCCAAGGCGTCATGTACCACCTATGGAACATCTTGTACCAATTCTCTCTCAGGGCCGTTGAATAAGTATATTTGATTTTCTTAGACCATATTCATTCTTCCATCTCTACCTGTACCTTTCCTCCCTTTCTTTGCTCTTTGGTTACATCCTTCCTTCCTTCTTTCCCTATCTTTCGTTCCTTCTCTCCTTCCTTCCCTCTCTTTTTCCTTTCACTTTTTTATTTCCTTCTCTCCTTCCTTGCTTCTCTATCTTTCTTTCTTTCTTTCCTTCTTTCCCTCCCTCTCTCCTTCCTTCCCTTTTTTCCTCCTTCTCTCGTTACTTCTTGACTGTCCCTTCCATTTAATATTGTATTTATATCTTAGAAAGAAGGAAAGGAAGAAGGAAGGAAGGAGGGACAGGAAGGGAGGGAGGGAGGAGGAGGAAGAAAGGAGGGGGTGAAGAAAGGAGGGAAGGAAATGAAGGGGAAGGAAATAAAGAAAGGGAAAGAAGGAGGAAAGGGAAGGAGGGAGGAAGGAAAAGAAGGAAAGGAAGAAGGAAGGAGGGACAGGAAGGAAGGAAAAAGGAGGAGGGAAGAAGAAGAGGGAAGGTAGGAAAAAAAGAAAGGAAGGGAGGGAGGAAGGAGAAGGAAGGAAGGAAGGAGGGAAAGAAGGAGGGAGGAGAAGGAAGAAGGAGGAGAGGAAGAAGAGGAAAGAAGGGAGGAGAGGAAGGAGGAGAAGAAGGAGGGGGATGAAGAAGAAGGAGGGAGGGAAGGAAATGAGGGGAAGGAAATGAAGAAAGGGAAAGAAGGAAAGGAAGAAGGAAGGAGGGACAGGAAGGAAGGGAAGGAGGGAAAGAGGGAAAGTAAGAAGAAGGAAGAAAAGGAAAGGGAGGAAAGAAGGGAAGGGAGGAAGAGAAGGAAGGTCCTTCATTCAAGCACCGTGGACCTTCCTCGCCTCCTCTCCTCCCCTTCTTCCTTGCGTGGATGCTCTGTTGCTGCTACCATTGCTGCTGCTTTCCCAACAGGGAAAGGAGGAGGAGGAGGAGACTGCTCTCCTGACATAGGAGGGGAAGAGAAGGGGCTGCATGCGGCGCGCCTCCACCTCCACTACACTCGCTCGTGTGTGTGTGTGGCCATACACGTGCGCCTGGCTTTAACAGCCAGCTGTCTCCCCGCGAGGAGGAGAAGGGGGCGTGGCCATGGGTCTTGGTAGACATGCAGTTTCTCCTTTGTGGACATGCAGTTTAGAAGTCCTTTCTGCTTTTGGTTTTCGTTGTTTTTTTGAGTGGAGAACATACATTGGGTTGTTAGGGACATAGTGTCCAAATTTGGTGTCAATTGCCCCAGTGGTTTCTGAGTTCTGTGAATAGCACAAACGAACATTACATTTTTATTTATATAGATTACTAGCCGTCCCCTGCCAGTTTTTCTCAGTTGCGGAAACGAAATGTGCCGTTTCTTAATAAATTTAACATGCTGAATTCAAATATAATAATTAAATGTGTTAATTGGCTCTGGTTTTTATGCAACAGCTATTTCAATTTTCTCCACAATAGGTAATTCGTTAATATTATGATAATGCGCCTAACCTTACTGCATGTATATAAACCGTGAATGGAAAGGAGGAGGAGGAGGAGACTGCTCTCCTGACATAGGAGGGGAAGAGAAGGGGCTGCATGCGGCGCGCCTCCACCTCCACTACACTCGCTCGTGTGTGTGTGTGGCCATACACGTGTGCCTGGCTTTAACAGCCAGCTGTCTCCCCCCCTGCGAGGAGGGGGGCGTGGCCATGGGTCTCGGTAGACATGCAGTTTCTCCTTTGTGGACATGCAGTTCAGAAGTTCTTTCTGCTTTTTGTTTTCATTGTGTTTTTTTTTTTGAGTGGAGAACATACATTGGGATGTTAGGGACATAGCGTCCAAATTTGGTGTCAATTGCCCCAGTGGTTTCTGAGTTCTGTGAATAGCACAAACGAACATTACAGTTTTATTTATATAGATTACACTGTTCTACAAATTTTCAGTTTTTCTCAGTTGCGGAAACGAAATGTGCCGTTTCTTAATAAATTTAACGTGCTGAATTCAAATATAATAATTAAATGTGTTAATTGGCTCTGGTTTTTATGCAACAGCTATTTCAATTTTCTCCACAATAGGTAATTCGTTAATATTATGATAATGCGCCTAACCTTACTGCATGTATATAAACCGTGAATAGAAAGGAGGAGGAGGAGGAGACTGCTCTCCTGACATAGGAGGGGAAGAGAAGGGGCTGCATGCGGCGCGCCTCCACCTCCACTACACTCGCTCGTGTGTGTGTGTGGCCATACACGTGCGCCTGGCTTTAACAGCCAGCTGTCTCCCCGCGAGGAGGAGAAGGGGGCGTGGCCATGGGTCTTGGTAGACATGCAGTTTCTCCTTTGTGGACATGCAGTTTAGAAGTCCTTTCTGCTTTTTGTTTTCGTTGTTTTTTTGAGTGGAGAACATACATTGGGTTGTTAGGGACATAGTGTCCAAATTTGGTGTCAATTGCCCCAGTGGTTTCTGAGTTCTGTGAATAGCACAAACGAACATTACATATATATGTAACACTGTTCTACAAATTTTCAGTTTTTCTCAGTTACGGAAACGAAATGTGCCGTTTCTTAATAAATTTAACATGCTGAATTCAAATATATAATTAAATGTGTTAATTGGCTCTGGTTTTTATGCAACAGCTATTTCAATTTTCTCCACAATAGGTAATTCGTTAATATTATGATAATGCGCCTAACCTTACTGCATGTATATAAACCGTGAATATTTACTAAATTTTAGTCAAATTATATTGCCAATAGTTTATACATGAGAAATATTTATTTAATTAGTCTATTGTTTATGTTTGTGCAGCAAGAAACTATATTAGTAGGCCTAATGCAGTTGAAAAGTCTGAAAGTTTAAATGTCGCTTTAATCGTGACTTTAGTTTATATCCTGTTTGCTTCTCTTGACTTTTCTTTTGTATTCAAGGAAAGGATTGTCTCTTACAATGCTCCAGCAGTAGTCTGACAGCATTGACGGAGTCCATTGGCCTTGATATCTTTTTTCCATAGTGCTTTATTTACACACGTGCGAGGCATAACTACAGTCAAAAGAACAATGTAAAACGATGTTTAACGATACTGTCTCAGTCTTCAACTGACTGACCCTCACCGTTCAAAAGTCTGGCCTTATATAGGGCTTTCTGGCTTTTGCACACGGCACTAATACTGCGTCATCAAACTTTCTAGAGTATTCTAGAATCTTCCATAGTGTAAGTCGCAACATGCATTTTTTCAACCATACGATATCATAAAAACTAGAGCCAATATACATTTTTAAATGTCATTTTCGTTTTCAGCACCCCAAAATCATAAAAGAACAACTATTTGCAGGCCCGCAACTTTTTCTCCGTTGAACAGTGTTATTATTATTATTACCATATTTCAATGCAAAGGTCGAAACCCGCCTTGAAACAAACATCCTGCCGCTTTTCTCCTCAGGTTTAAAAAACGGGTCTTGATTCAGCACTTAGAGCGAATCCTAGAGGACATAGAGCTCGGCGAGCTGCCCAACAGAATTAACCACGTCAACAGTAGATAATGATCAGCGTGCCACCGAGGAGGAGCCACACGCGTGCGGGGCCCAGGGAGAAAACGCGTCGCCTGTGTCGCAGAAGAGGAGGAAAGGGGACAGAAGAGGACGTGGCAGCAGAGAAGCCGGGCGACTTTTCCATCGGAGTCGGAGAGGGAAAAGGGTGGTGTTTTCCCATCCATGGCCTTCTCTTTGCTGGGAAACAGATGGATTTGCCACGGCGGAAGGCGCTGTTTCCTCCCTCGCTCCCTCCCTCCTTGTTCTGCTGCGGAGGAGGGCCAGATCCGAAGACCGAGGCCGGCGCCGCCTTCGCCTGCAGGTGATGAGCCTTTACACTCCTCCTTTGAGCCTTTGTCCTGAGATGCTTGATGCTGCTCCCTTAGTGGGATCGTTTTGAGAGCTGGCGAGAGAGAGGGAGACACAGAAATATGACCCCCTCTGGTTGTAGCATTGCATGTTGTTGCTCTAGGCGCTGAGGAAGGGTAAATGCAAGTGGTGAGAATGTAAAGCGGAGTTGCTGAAACTGGGTTGAGGCGCAAGCAGTGGAGCGCCTACTGCTCCTTCCTTCCTAGCATCCTACCTCAGCCTCTCTTCTCTTTTGTCTGCAGACTGTATGAAAAGTGCGCCCGAGGCTCCCCCAGGTCCAGAACTTCGGTTCTCTTCCATCCTGTGAGGAGGACACAGACTCTTCACGGTGGACTTGGCTTCGAAGCGCTTAGAGGAAACCGTGGGGCTCAATAATAACACTTTAGAAACACTGAAAAAACAAAACCCACCCCTTTTCCTTCCCTATATATATATATATAACCTTTTAAATGTTCATACGAGAAAAGATTATTTTGGGCAGATCTTTACTTTGATATATTGGAATGATGTGTATTCGTGTATGTGTATATGTACATACATACATACATACATATATATATAAATGTATATGAGAGATTTTTTTGGACACTTGTATATAATAAAAAGAACATTTATGATTTTTCTAAAGAAGTGTGTCATGTGACTGGAGCCTCACCGAAGTCCCCGCGACACAAGTGAAGATGGAAGCAAAGCACGGCTACTAACGTTAACTCTTTTTTTTTTCCTTCCAAAGAGGCAGGCCTGAGTGGAGAGATTGGGCTCCTTTTGTCTTACCTCTCCGATTCCATTTTCCTTTTTTGAGGATTCATCTGTGGCCCCATCTTTTTAATTGGGATAGTTTCCATCTGGCTAAACTCGACCTGGTTGGTTTCAGTAAGAAGTGCTCCTCAGTTTCGGCTCTTAAATGTTTTTCTTCTTTTTTTGTGAAAAACCTTTATTGAGTATAGTACAGTGGTTCTCAACCTGGGGTCCCCAGATGTTTTTGGCCTTCAACTCCCAGAAACCCTAACAGCTGGTAAACTGGCTGGGATTTCTGGGAGTTGTAGGCCAAAAACATCTGGGGACCCAGGTTGAGAACCACTGTTCTAGTGGTACATGGCCATGTTCTAGAGGCATTCTCTCTGACGTTTCGCCTGCATCTATGGCAAGCATCCTCAGAGGTAGTGAGGTCTGTTGGAACTAGGAAAAGGGGGTTTATATATCTGTGGAATGACCAGGGTGGGACAAAGGACTCTTGTCTGTTGGAGCTAAGTGTGAATGTTTCAACTGACTACTTTGGACAAGGACATCTAATCACCTCTCAACAAAAGATTGCTCAGGCACTGCCAGGCCATCAAATGCTAATCAATGTAGTCAGTTGAAACATTCACACCTAGCTCCAACAGACAAGAGTCCTTTGTTTAAGGAGCTCCACTGGCTGCCATTTATTTACCGGACCCAATTCAAGGTGCAGGTTCTTACCTACAAAGCCCTGAACTGTTTGGGACCCGCCTACCTGTGTGACCACATCTCTGTATACGAACCCACACAATCCCTTCGATCATCCGTGGAGGCCCTGCTCTCAATCCCACCAGCATCACAGGCGTGGTTGGTGGGGACGAGAGAGAGGGCCTTTTCGGTGGTGGCCCCTCGACTCTGGAACTCACTCCCTAAAGACATCAGACAGGCCCCAACCTGGCAGTCTTTAGGAGGAGCTTGAAGACGTGGTTGTTCCAGTGTGCCTTCCCAGAATAATGATACCATAGCACTTTGTCCTCCAAAGCACTTTACACTTTTTAGATCTGCTCGTGTGCCCTTCCACAAACGCCACTATCACCTTTTGTCCATGTCCCAGCATTTTTTTCCATTTTAACTTTACATTTGGCCTTCCCACTGTTTTTAATTGCGTGTTGTCTTATTGATAATGCTGTATTTTTATTGTTTATGTTTTATTTTAATTGCTTATACTGTTGTTGTTTTGTTTGTATTGTTGTATTCGGGCTGGGCCTCATGTAAGCCGCACCGAGTCCCTTGGGGAGATGGTAGCGGGGTACAAATAAAGTATTATTATTATTATTATTATTATTATTATTATTATTATTATTTGTCCCACTCTGGTCATTCCACAGATATATAAACCCCCTTTTTCCTAGTCCCAATAGACCTCACTACCTCTGAGGATGCTTGCCATAGATGCAGGCGAAACGTCAGGAGAGAATGCCTCTAGAACATGGTCATATAGCTCAAAAAAACCTAAAACAACCCAGTGATTCCGGCCATGAAAACCTTCGACAATACTTTATTGAACACTTTCTGATTAGAAACTACCTGTATTATTGTGTAGTCGAAGCAGCATTCAAAGAAAAGAAAAATAAGTTATCCAGTTCATTAGGGGTCTTTTCTTTTGCTTCTGCTAGGTCAAACTTCCTTGATTTATAATCTGAGCTTCTGATTATTTTCCCAAGACCTAGATATCAAAAGTGCCTTCAGATGTCCACATGGCTAAATAAGAGTGAAATTCTAAATGCTGATGGAAAATAGGAATTCATTTACATTCTTTGAGCTTTTGGCAGCAGTTACATTTCAATATCTATTTCCACAACTGAGTTAACACCTTACTCCATGTGCTATGGCCAGGAATAAGACAATACAGGCAGCCTAGCCATACAAGTCTCGATAAAATAGTAAAGAGTAGAGACATCAGACTGGCAACAAAGATCCGCCTAGTCAAAGCCATGGTATTCCCTGTAGTAACCTACGGATGTGAGAGCTGGACCTTAGGGAAGGCTGAGCGAAGGAAGAGAGAGGCTTTTGAGCTGTGGTGTTGGAGGAAAGTCTGAGAGTGCCTTGGACTGCGAGAAGATCCAACCAGTCCATCCTCCAGGAAATAAAGCCCGGCTGCTCACTGGAGGAAGGATACTAGAGACAAAGTTGAAGTACTTTGGCCACATCATGAGGAGACAGCAATGCCTAGAGAAGACAATTATGCTGGGGAAAGTGGAAGGCAAAAGGAAGAGGGGCCGACCAAGGGCAAGATGGATGGATGGCATCCTTGAAGTGACTGGACTGACCTTGAAGGAGCTGGGGGTGGTGACGGCCGACAGGGAGCTCTGGCGTGGGATGGTCCATGAGGTCACGAAGAGTCGGAGACGACTGAACGAATGAACAACAACAAGCCATACAAGCCCACTTGTGCAGCCAAAGGTTTAAATGAAATTAAATCAAGGAAAGAAGGAAAAAATCAGTGATCATTATGTACAGTTTACTCAAACTACATCTGTTGGGTGGAATTTCCATTCCAGGTATTGTTATCGTCATCTCCATCATCCTGTGTCCTCAATCGATAGATTTTGCCTTCTTTTTTGAATTGTAAATGGAAATGGAAGGCAAGAAGGAAGCATCTCTGAGGGAGCAAAGTGCTTGTTCTTCCTTATGTCCGTAGAAAAAGGAAGAACAAGGAGGTGATAGGGACTCTTCGAGGAGAAGATGGGGCAATGCTGACAGGGAAAAGGCAGAACTACTTAATGCCTTCTTTGCCTCAGTCTTCTCACAAAAAGAAAGTCATCTTCAACCTCAGCAAGATGGAGTGGATGAGGGATTTGAGGACATCCAACCCCAAATTGGGAAACAAGTCGTCCAGGAATACCTGGCCGCTCTAAATGAGTTCAAGTCCCAGGGCCAGATCAACTACACCCAAGAGTATTGAAGGAACTAGCGGAAGAGTCATTTCGGAACCATTGGCAACCATCTTTGAGAGTTCTTGGAGAACGGGAGAAGTTCCAGCAGATTGGAGGGGGGCCAATGTGGTCCCAATCTTCAAGAAGGGAAAAAAGGATGACCCAAACAACTACCGTCCGGTCAGCCTCACGTCGATACCAGGCAAGATTCTGGAAAAGATTGTTAAGGAAGTGGTCTGCAAACACTTAGAAACAAATGCGGTCATCGCTAATAGTCAACATGGATTTATCAAAAACAAGTCATGCCAGACTAATCTGATCTCTTTTTTCGATAGAGTTACAAGCTGGGTAGATGCAGGGAATGCCGTGGATGTAGCGTACCTGGATTTCAGTAAGGCCTTCGACAAGGTCCCCCATGACCTTCTGGCAAGGAAACTAGTCCAATGTGGGCTAGGCAAAACTACGGTGAGGTGGATCTGTAATTGGTTAAATGGACGAACCCAGAGGGTGCTCACCAAGCTTCCTCTTCATCCTGGAAAGAAGTGACAAGTGGAGTGCCGCAGGGTTCCATCCTGGGCCCGGTCCTGTTCAACATCTTTATTAATGACTTAGATGAGGGGGTTCTCAACCTGGGGTCCCCAGATGTTTTGGCCTTCAACTCCCAGAAATCCTAACAGCTGGTAAACTGGCTGGGATTTCTGGGAGTTGTAGGCCAAAACACTTGGGGACCCACATATTGAGAACCATGACTTAGATGAAAGGCTAGAAGGCAGGATCATCAAGTTTGCAGACGACACCAAATTGGGAGGGAGAGCCAATACTCCAGAGGACAGGAGCAGGATTCAAAACGATCTTGACAGATTAGAGAGATGATGGGCCAAAACTAACAAAATGAAGTTCAACAGGGACAAATGCAAGATACTCCACTTTGGCAGAAAAAACAAAATGCAAAGATACAGAATGGGGGACAATGCCTGGCTCGAGAGCAGTACGTGTGAAAAAGATCTTGGAGTCCTCGTGGACAACAAGTTAAACATGAGCCAACAATGTGATGTGGCGGCAAAAAAAGCCAATGGGATTTTGGCTGCATCAATAGGAGCATAGTGTCTAGATCTAGGGAAGTCATGCTACCCCTCTATTCTGCCTTGGTTAGACCACACCTGGAATATTGTGTCCAATTCTGGGCACCACAATTCAAGAGAGATATTGACAAGCTGGAATGTGTCCAGAGGAGGGCGACTAAAATGATCAAGGGTCTGGAGAACAAGCCCTATGAGGAGCGGCTTAAGGAGCTGGGCATGTTTAGCCTGAAGAAGAGAAGGCTGAGAGGAGATATGATAGCCATGTATAAATATGTGAGAGGAAGTCACAGGGAAGAGGGAGTGGTTTGGCGGTTTATTAGCAATTTCCTGTTTACCAGCCCTCCCCCTCCGCAGCCTCCTCCCGTGGGATGGCATCAGCTGGAACATGCAAGTGCAAACACCTCCTCGAATGCTGCAGAGCCAAGCAGACAAGCAGTCAGGAAACGAGTTTTGGAAAAGCGGAGTGAAGAATGCAAAAAAGAAGGCAAAAGCTCTTTATGTTCTGAAGACCCTTCTCATAAATGTACCCAGCACCAGTAGCTCAAAGTGATGATAGAAACAAGAACACACAGACCAATGTTACCTCTTCCTTTGGAGGCTATTTATAAGAACGACGTTTCCATAACACAAACAAAGTTCTTTATACTTCCTTCTTTGCTTCCACGCTGGGCTTCTTTCTCATGCAGATAAACAGCTTTACTGTCACTGAACTTCCTCTCACACCGAACTTACACAGTAGCTTTCTACACACAGCAGCCTTCATACACAATGCCTTTCAAGCTGGGACTTCTCTCACCGAAGCTTCTCATGCCAGGCTTACTAACACTGAGGCCTACCTCACACAGACCTTTTCCCCACTGAGGCGTCACGCTGAGGACTGTGATTGACGCCTCTCATACACTGTGGCAAACTAACACTGAAGCTTCTCACGCCAGGTCTTCTCAAACAGTCCAATGAACACTGAGGCCTTTCTCCCACTGAGGTGTCACACTGAGGGCTCTCTCAGACTGACACCTCATACAGTGAGGCGAACTAACACTGCCTACCTCACACTGATGCCTTTCTTCCACTGAGGGCTCAGACCGACGCCTCTCATGCACTGAGGCCTACTAACACCAAAGCCTACCTCACACTGAGGCCTTTCTCCCACAGGGATCTCTCAAGACTGACACCTCATACACTGAGGTGAACTAACACTGCCTACCTCACAGTGAAGCCTTTTTCCCACAGAGGGCTCTCTCAGACTGATGCCTCATACATTGAGACCTACCTCACACTGATGCCTTTCTTCCACTGAAGGCTCAGACGGACGCTTCTCGTGCACTGAGGCCTACTAACACCAAAGCCTACCTCACACTGAGGCCTTTCTCCCACAGGGATCTCTCAAGACTGACACCTCATACACTGAGGCGAACTAACACTGCCTACCTCACAGTGAAGCCTTTCTCCCACAGAGGGCTCTCTCAGACTGACACATACACTGAAGCCTACCTCACACTGATGCTTTTCTTCCACTGAAGGCTCAGACGGACGCCTCTCGTGCACTGAGGCCTACTAACACCAAAGCCTACCTCACACTGAGGCCTTTCTCCCACAGGGATCTCTCAAGACTGACACCTCATACACTGAGGCGAACTAACACTGCCTACCTCACACTGATGCCTTTCTTCCACTGAAGGCTCAGACCGACGCCTCTCATGCACTGAGGCCTAATAACACCAAAGCCTACCTCACACTGAGGCCTTTCTCCCACAGGGATCTCTCAAGACTGACACCTCATACACTGAGGCAAACTAACACTGCCTACCTCACAGTGAAGCCTTTCTCCCACTGAGGCTCATACTGAGGGCTCTCTCAGACTGAGGCTTCATACACTGCTGATAGAGCCAGGAATACGGAGCTGCTCCAAGCTCAGCCATGGATTAGCGGCCTTGCTGTGGCTGAATACAGAGCTTGGATCAAGCGCTTCAAGGTCAGCAGTTCAGCCGGCACAAGGGTTTAACCCATTGTCGCTGCAGCTCCTGACACCTCTTGATGGCCTTTCTTTTTCATAAATTGGATCCCATTATATCAGGTAACTGTCATTGCAGTAAAAATTCACCCACAAAGTGAATTTGAATAAGAAATAGATCAAAAGAACCCAATGCAGAAAAATTGCCTGAAAAATATAGGAATTGGGAGTACCTGCCAAGACATACAGCAAAATCTCAATTTGAGCATGATTGCATGAAGCAAACTTGTGTACACCCTGGGTTGTTGTGTGTTTTCTGGGCAGTATGGCCATGTTCCAGAAGCAGTTATCTCCTGAAGTTTCACCTGCATCTGTGGCAGGCATCCTGAAGAGTTTGTGAGATGTTGTTTTACTGTTCTATTGTTTTGCTTGATGTTTTATTTGCTTATGAGTTTTACTGTGTATTGTATGTTGTTGTTGTCGGCGGCTTCAGCCTTGTAAGCCGCATTGAGTCCTTCGGGAGATTTTGCGGGGTATAAATAAAGATAATAATAATAATAATAATAATAAATAACAACAACTAGGAAAATGGGGGTTTGTATATCATGCCGGCCACAGGACCTTAAAGGTGTCTGTGGACAATGCCAGCTCTTTGGTTTATGAATGGAGATGAGCACCACACCCCAGAGTCAGACACGACTGGACTTAATGTCAGGGGAAAATCTTTACCTATATATCTGTTTACTTTTACCTATATATCTGTTGAATGTCCAGGGTTGGAGAAAGAACTCTGTTTGAGGTAGGTGTGAATGTAGTTTTCCTAGTTACCAACAGACCTCACAACCTCTGTGGATGCCTGCCATAGATGTGGGTGAAATGTAGTAATAATATTAAAAAAAACTTTATTTGTACCCTGCTACCATCTCCCCAAGGGACTCGGTGCGGCTTACATGAGGCTGAGCCCACAATACATCAGCAAAAATGACAACAACAGCAATACAAAACAATAAAATAAAACTCATAAACAAAAAACAAGTAGTAAACATTACCAATAGCACAACAACGCTTAAAAACCAAGGGCTGACACAAATGTAATAATTAAAATTAAAAAAATTATGCTGAGCATGACCAGGTGAAATATATAACTAGGATAGAATTTCGGAGAGGAAAGGGGTGTGCAGACAATCCTAGATCATTGATAAAGTGTATTTAGGGACATATTGCTGGGAGTTTCCTTATTCTGGGAAGGCACATTGAAACAACCATGTTTTCAAGCTCCTAAAGACTGCCAGAGTTGAGGCCTGGCTTATGTCCCTAGGAAGTGAGTTCCAGAGTCGAGGGGCCACCACTGAAAAGGCCCTCTCTCTCGTCCCCACCAATTGCGCCTGTGATGCTGGTGGGATCGAGAGCAGGGCCTCTCCAGATGATCGAAGAGATCATGTGGGTTCGTATACAGAGATGCGGTCACGTAGGTAAGCGGGTCCCAAACCGTTCAGGGCTTTGTAGGTAAGAACCTGCACCTTGAATTGGGACCGGAAAATGAACGGCAGCCAGTGGAGCTCCTTAAACAGGAGGGTTGACCTCTCCCTGTAAGAAGCACCGGTTAGTAGCCTGGCCGTCACTCATTGAACCACTTGAAATTTCCGGGCCATTTTCAAGGGCAGCCCTACGTAGAGTGCATTGCAGTAATCCAGTCTAGAGGTGACTAAGGCGTGGACCACCTTGGCCAGATCCGCCTTCCCGAGGTACGGTTGCAGTTGGCGCACGAGTCTTAATTGTGCAAAGGCCCTCCCGGCCACCACCAACGCCTGAGCCTCAAACGTGAAACTCATAAACAAAAAACAAGTAGTAAACATTAAAAATAGTACAACAACGCTTAAAAACCTAGGGCTGGGCCAAATGTAATAATTAAAATTTATTCTGGGAAGGCACACTGGAACAACCATGTTTTCAAGCTCCTCCTAAAGCCTGCCAGAGTTGGGGCATGCCTGATGTCCTTGGGGAGTGAGTTGCAGAGTCGAGGGGCCACCACCGAGAAGGCCCTCTCCCTCGTCCCCACCAATCGCACCTGCAATGGAGGTGGGAGCGCGAGCAGGGCCTCTCCAGATGATCGAAGAGATTGTGTTGGTTCGTATACAGAAATGCGGTCACAAAGGCAGGCAGGTCCCAAACCGTTTAGGGCTTTGTCGGTAAGAACCTGCACCTTGAATTGAGACCGGAAAATGAACCGCAGCCAATGGAGCTCCTTAAACAGGAGGGTTGAACGCTCCCTGTAAGGAGCACCAGTTAACAACCTGACCCGCCCGTTGAACCAATTGAAATTTCCAGGCCATTTTCAAGGGCAGCCCCACATAGAGTGCATTACAGTAGTCCAATCTGGAGGTGACTAAGGCATGAACAACCCAACCCAAATCCGCCTTCACGCCTATACATCTATTGAATGTCCAGGGTGGGAGAAAGAACTCTGGGTAGGTGTGAATGTAGTTTTCCTAGTTACCAACAGACCTCACAACAGGTTATTGTGGGTTTTTTCGGGCTATATGGCCATGTTCTAGAACAGGGGTCCACAAACTTTTTAAACAGAGGGCCAGGTCACAGTCCCTCAAACTGTTGGAGGGCCGGATTATAATTTGAAAAAAATATGAATTCCTATGCACACTGCACGTATCTTATTTGTAGTGTAAAAACACTTTAAAACAATACAATAATTAAAATGAACAATGTTAACAAATATAAACTTATTAGTATTTCAATGGGAAATGTGGGCCTGCTTTGGCTGATGAGATAGGATTGTTGTTGTTGTTATGTGCTTTCAAGTAGTTTCAGACTTAGGTTGACCCTAAGCGAGGGCCGGGTAAATGACCTTGGAGGGCCGCATCCAGCTCCCGGGCCTTAGTTTGAGGACCCCTGTTCTAGAACATGGTGATATAGCCTGAAAAAACCCACAAGAACCTATTGATTCCAGCCATGAAAGCCTTCGACAATAGACCTCACAACCTCTGTGGATGCCTGCCATAGATGTGGGTGAAATGTAAGGAGACAATGCTTCTGGAACATGGCCAGACAGCCCAGAAAACACACAGCAACCCAGTGATTCTGGACATGAAAGCCTTCGACAATATATTGTGTGAACCCAATTGTCAAAATGGTTCCAGCAATTCCATGCCTCGGAGCTGTGTTCCTTTATATTGTGGGCCCAACCCCTGCAGAAACAATTCATAACCAAGGCGCTATGTAATATTACTTCTTTATTGGACGTTTGCAAGATCCAAAAAGGAGAAAAACAAAAGTGTTTCTACACTTGTGAAAGAAACATGGATGCATAAGGGTAAGGCAGCTATTCCTTGCAAGTTTAAACAGTCCAGACAGGACTTTTTCTTTAACCTTTGTAATATGTACATAAATGAGGAAGAAAAGCCTGTTAACTGGAGCAAGGCTCCAACTTAGTAGCAGTTGGGAGGGAGCAGATTCTGACTACAGTTGGGGGGAAATTGGCTTATAAATTAGCCCAGCTTGGAAGGACAACCGTACAAAAATGGTAGGAAAAAGCAAAACTCAAGGAGCAAGTCAGTATTTTAGAATGGTTTTGCTTTCTCCCAACAGCCTTTTCCTGTTGGAACTTCCCCTTGCAACTAACAAATTAATCACTAGTTCTAAATGTCATTAAACCAGGGGACAAAACACCCAGAATGGATTTCTCTCTTGCGTTGCAGCAATTCCTGAATATTGGCATGCTGGGAAGTGGGTCGCAAGAGCCTCCAGCATCAGCGCAGGCCCAATTTGTCTTGAGATCGAAGTATTGTGTCCGGGAGGACGGCAAAAGTTGGGAGGCACCATAATAACGATTATGGCAGGCCATCAAGGAGAGCAAGACAAAAGGTTCAGACTTCAGAGGCAAACAGCAACTACTTTTCGTCACAAATCAGAGCCTTGTGACACCTTTGGAGAAGAGAAGGAAAGTGTCGGGATCCACTCACATTAAGGGCCGTGATGCTGAAAGGAAACGAGGTCCAAAGAACGGGAGTCATGTCAACAAGGCCACATCTCCATCCTTATCCTTCCTTTGTGGTTTGCTCACTCAGACCATCTCCACAAAGAGCAGGAAAGGATAATTGGTTGCCCTCCAGTTGTTGTTGGATTGCAAATCCCATTATCCTTGGCTCAGGATGGCCAGGACTTTGGGTATTGGAGTCAACGACATATGGAGGACCACTTAAATTCCACTTCCGTTCACAATGACGCCATACATATAACGCTCTCTCATCTCCACAAAGAGCAGAAAAGGATAAACTGCTGCCCTCCAGTTGTTGTTGGATTGCAAATCCCATTATCCTTGGCTCAGGATGGCCAGGGCTTTGGGTATTGTAGTCAACGACATCTGGAGGGCCACTTAAATTCACAACGCCATGTAATGATCCGGTTACGCCATACACATAATGCTCTCTCATCTCCACAAAGAGCAGGAAAGGATAAAGGCTGGTCTCTAGCTGTTGTTGGATTGCAAATCCCGTTATCCTTGGCTCAGGATGACCAGGGCTTTGGGTATTGTAGTCAACGACATCTGGAGGGCACCTAAATTCCACTTCCGTTCACAACAACGCCATGCAATGATCCGGTTACGCTATACACATGATGCTCTTTCATCTCCACAAAGAGCAGGAAAGGATAAACAGCTGCCCTCTAGTTGTTGTTGGATTGCAAATCCCGTTATCCTTGGCTCAGGATGGACAGGGCTTTGGGTATTGTAGCCAACGACATCTGGAGGGACACTTAAATTCCACTTCCGTTCACAATGACGCTATACAATGATCTGGTTACGCCCTACATATAACGCTCTCTCATCTCCACAAAGAGCAGGAAAGGATAAATGGCTGCCCTCTAGTTGTTGTTGGATTGCAAAGCCCGTTATCCTTGGCTCAGGATGGCCAGAGCTTTGGGTATTGTAGTCAACGACATCTGGAGGGCCACTTAAATTCCACTTTCGTTCACAACGACGCCATGCAGATAATGCTCTCTCATCTCTACAAATAGCAGGAAAGGATAGATGGCTGCCCTATAGTTGTTGGATTGCAAATCCCATTATCCTTGGCTCAGGATGGCCAGGGTTTTGGGTATTGCAGTCAACGACATCTGGAGGGCCACTTAAATTCCACTTCCGTTCACAACGACGCAATGCGATGATCCGGTTACGCCATACACAATGACGCTCTCTCATCTCCACAAAGAGCAGGAAAGGATAAATGGTTGCCCTCTAGTTGCTGTTGGTTTGCAAATCCCATTATCCTTGGCTCAGGATGGCCAGGGCTTTGGGTATTGTAGTCAACGACATCCGGAGGGCCACTTAAATTCCACTTCCGTTCACAATGATGCTGTACAATTATCTGGTTACGCCGTACATGTAACGCTCTCTCATCTCCACAAAGAGCAGGAAAGCATTAACGGCTGCTCTCTAGTTGTTGTTGGATTGCAAATCCCATTATCCGTAGCTCAGGATGGCCAGGGCTTTGGGTATTGTAGTCAACAACAGAAAATGACAACATCCAAGACCTCTAGACTGGTTAGATAAGGACTCCATTCTCTGGGTTGGTGACTTTTGCTAGAGATTCAAAAAAATAAAGCTACAATATTGTGATGCCACACTTTGCAAAGTGGTAGAGGGCATATCCCTTGCTTTCGCAATGGAAAGAACCTCTCTATGGAGAAAATGTCCAAGATGTGAAAGGACTTTGTTCCTGCCTCCCTGGTCATTAGGTGGAACCCGTCTGATCTTGTGGAAATCAGTTGGGCAAACAAGAATGCAAGTTCTCCTTTCCAAATAAGATAGAACAAATACAGAAACTGAGTTTAAAATGTGTCCTTGAGAGACGAAGAACAAAACATGACAACAAGAGGAACATAAGTGAGCTTTCCTTGAGTGTCCAAGCCATTCGTTCGTTGACGTTCTCTTACCCTTGCCTGGGCATACAATCCTGGGCCATGCAATGATCCGGTTGCGCCATACATACATACATATGAAGCCAGATCACCAAAAAGTAGGCCCATCTTTGTTCAACATCCTTCCAACTTGTATTTCAAGGCACAGACCAATAGTGTTTGCCTACTAGCATCGCTTTGGGTTGAGTTCCCATTTCAGCACGGTCTGTCTTGAACAGCTCTGCCTTTTGCAATACAACTCGTATCACATAAGCGGCCCCAATATCGATCCCAAAGTGTCAAAGACGCAAAAATAACACAATCATTTGTCTTCCATCAACGGGGAAAGGGGACAGACACAGCACACTGTCACCTCCTTCCTTCACATTCAACAAGCCAATGCCCCCTTTCTCTGTGCTTATCGACTGCATTGAAAAAAACAATTTGGCTTTGTTTGCAGCAGGGACTAAATTGTTTTCAGGGAGTCAACTGCAATAGTGTTTTAATGGATGAAAGGGAAGAAGGTGGCATGTGTGAATTTTCTTTTTCATAGCATAATTCCAGCCATTGTTTACACCGTTTGCCCAATTCACGACGCGGTAATTGTCGTTAACAGTGTTCAGAGAAGGTCCTTTCTCAATATCGTTTTCTATATATTTATATATAATATATCTCTTATAAAGTCTGGAAGATCAATATAAATACTGCTCCAGAAATTAAAAAAAAAGAAGAGTGCTTACACCCCACAAACTCAAATATTATATAGCTCAGTGTCCTAGGTTTAGAATCTTCTGTAAAAATCTTAACGGCGGAGAGGTTCAAGTTTTCGCAATTTCAGTGATGCGCCGAATAACTCGTCTTGCTTGGAGGAGGGCGGCTGGACGGCATCCGGGGACTGGAATAAGACTCGGCCCCGGTGGTTGAACACATAGAAGGAGGGGTGGTTCCTCAATGTGTCAAATGTCCTGGAAAGGAAAGAGATGGAGAAGGTGGAGAGTGCAATTAACAAAGAGAAGCAATGACGAGTTTTGTTTGTTTCTTTTTTTTGCCGTGTCAGGAGTGACCTGAGAAACTGCAAGTCGCTCCTGTTGTGAGAGAATTGGCCGTCTGCAAGGATGTTGCCCGAATGATTTGATGTTTTATCATCCTTGTGGGAGGCTTCTCTCATGTCCCCGCACGAGGAGCTGGAGCTGATAGAGGGAGCTCATCCACCTCTCCTCAGATTCGAACCTGCAACCTGTCCGGCACAGGGCTTTAACCCACTGCGCCACTACTGAGTTGATCCTCAGCTTATCTGGGAAACACACTAAATGTTGGGGAACTGCCATGACCCTTCAGGATGAGGGGCTTGTCAGACATATTAAAAATTAACAAAGTATTTTTAATTACAAAAATGTGAGTCAAGCACATTTTTAAATGGATGCAATGACTCACCAAAAGCTGCAGGCTTAGTATGCCTCAGTTTTAGTTGCCCTCAGTATGAAGAGGCTTCAGTTTGAGAGAGGCCTCAGTGTGAGGTAAACCTCAGTGTTAGTAGGCCTCAGTGTACGAGAAGGCTTTAGTGAAAGAAGCCCCAGGTTGAAGGCCTTGTGTGTAAAGCTCCAACGTGAAGGCTGATTTGGGTAAAAAAAGCTGTGTGAGAGGAAGTTCAGTGACAGTGAAGCTGTTTATCTGCCTGAGAGAGATGCCCAGTGTGGAAGCAAAGAAGGAAGTATTGTCAAAGGCTTTCATGGCCGGAATCACTGGGTTGTTGTAGGTTTTTTCGGGCTATATGGCCATGTTCTAGAGGCATTTCTCCTGACGTTTCGCCTGCATCTATGGCAAGCATCCTCACTACCTCTGAGGATGCTTGCCATAGATGTAGGCGAAACGTTAGGAGAAATGCCTCTAGAACATGGCCATATAGCCTGAAAAAACCTACAACAACCCAAAGAATGAAGTATAAAAAGCCTTCGACAATATAAAGACCTTTATTTGAGTTATGGAAACCTTGTTCTTGTAAATAGTGCAACCATATTATTTTTCTAAAAAGAAAAGGAAGGTATAAGGAGGGGTTCATCCCTCTCATGGAGTTGCCCCTTCAGCAAATGGCACGTTGTCCCACTGACTGCGATTCAGTGACACTGTAATGACCATGAGCCATTCGTAGGCAAGATCCCATGCAACGAAGGCCAGGTGGCGGAACAATGGGATGGCAAGAATAAAGCTTGAACGCAAACCCTTCCCTTGTTCCAATAGTTCTGTAAGGCAACCAGGGAATGCAATGCAGTTGGGGGAAATGGCAACAGCAGTGAAGAGAGTAAACAAAACATACTTATGTTTTAGCTCTGAAGTCGCATCCATGTCTTTAAATTCTCCTGCAATGTGTACTATCCCGTAACAGGTAACCGCAAAGGCCAGCAGTGTTTGAAGAACTATCTGTAATAAATTGAAGGGAGGCAAATGCAATGTCTTAAGTGAATTCTTTGGAGAGGATTCCTCTTTCCTTTGCTCACTGTATCTTTCAAATATGTGGCACAATATGTCACAGATATATAATGCCTTGGGCTGTTTACCAGTCTGACTACACCTACCATATACTCCAAAGACCCTTAAGGCATACATTTCATTGGAACATGCCCTATTCAGATGCAGTTTCTGCAGCACAGGCATCCAAAATGTTTGAAATATTTATTTATTTACCCTATTTTACATCCTGCCTTTCTCTACCCCGAAGGGGACTCAAGTTGGCTTTACATATAGGCAACTATCAAATGCCTTTGGACAACATACAGGTAAAATACATTTATGTTAAATTTAATGCACATTAAAACATAGAAAAATACAGCATTCACTATTAAAATCATGTCATCCACAATCATAATCTGGGGCCATTCCAACAATCACCTATTCCGTAGCTGTTATTGCACTCTAGTTAATCTCCAAGAGTGCAATAACAGCTACGGAATATGTGCAATGCACTATAGAATTTCAATGAGAAATGTGGGCCTGCTTTTGGCTGATGAGATAGGATTGTTGTTGTTGTGTGCTTTCAAGTCATTTCCTCCTGAGAAAAATGTATAATATCACAAAGGATTACCACCTCACCCGCCTCATAGGAAACCTGCTACAAAACAGGAGCTTTTTTGTTGAGTTCCAGGGCCAGAGAAGCAGATGGCGGAAACAGAAGAACGGCCTGCCTCAGGGGAGCGTGCTTGCTCCATCCATGTTCAACATCTACACAAATGACCAGCCACTGCCAGAAGGGACAGAGAGTTTCATCTATGCTGATGATCGTGCCATTACCACTCAAGCAGGGAGCTTTGAGATGGTTGAACAGAAGCTCTCCGAAGCTCTAGGTGCTCTAACTGCCTATTACAGGGAAAACCAACTGATCCCTAATCCATCTAAAACACAGACATGTGCCTTTCACCTTAAGAACAGACAAGCATCCCGAGCTCTGAGGATTACCTGGGAAGGAATCCCACTGGAGCATTGCAGCGCACCCAAATACCTGGGAGTCACTCTGGACCGTGCTCTGACCTACAAGAAGCACTGCCTGAACATCAAGCAAAAAGTGGGTGCTAGAAACAATATCATACGAAAGCTGACTGGCACAACCTGAGGATCACAACCAGACACAGTGAAGACATCTGCCCTTGCACTATGATACTCTGCTGCTGAGTACGCATGCCCAGTCTGGAACACATCTCACCACGCTAAAACAGTGGATGTGGCTATTAATGAGACATGCCGCATTATCACGGGGTGTCTGCGCCCTACACCACTGGAGAAATTACACTGTTTAGCCAGTATTGCACCACCTGACATCAGCCGGGAAGTAGCAGCCAATAGTGAAAGGACCAAGGCAGTGACATCTCCAGCCCATCCCTTGGTTTGGGTATCAGCCAGCACGTCAATGACTTAAATCAAGAAATAGTTTTCTAAGATCTACAGAGACACTCGCTGGAACACCTCAGCAAGCGAGAGTCCAAAAGTGGCAGACTCAAACCCAGAACCTCAATCAATGGCTGATACCAAATGAGAGACTCCCCCTGGGCACACAGAAGACTGGGCGACTTGGAAGGCGCTGAACAGACTGCGCTCTGGCACCACGAGATGCAGAGCCAACCTTAAGAAATGGGGCTACAAAGTGGAATCCACGACATGTGAGTGTGGAGAAGAGCAAACCACTGACCACCTGCTGCAATGCAACCTGAGCCCTGCCACATGCACAATGGAGGACCTCCTTGCAGCAACACCAGAGGCACTCCAAGTGGCCAACTACTCGTCAAAGGACATTTAATCAACTACCAAGCTTGCAAACTTTGTGTTTTGTCTGTTTGTTAAAAATGTAATACAATTGTCTGGTTGATACTGACACAATAAATAAAATAAATAAATTTCAGACTTAGGTTGACCCTGAGCAAGGGCCGGGTAAATGACCTTGGATTGCCATATCCGGCCCCTGGGCCTTAGTTTGAGGACCCCTGTATTATAGTCTCAAGAACAGTGCGAGGCACATCTATCTCATTAAGACTGGGAGTTTGTACATTCAAGTAAAGAAAGAATGAGGAAGTGCTGCACTTCAGATTCCATTTGTGGAAACACAATAAAGCACAACAAAAAGTTACGAATTCAGACATATTGGCACAACCCAACACAAAGGGCTCCACTCCAATCAATCCTTGGGTTCTATTAATTCAATGATTCCAGTGCATTCAAACTACTTTATACACAAATATGTCATCCTACGAATCACAGGCAAACTTCCTAGAACTTACATCTATTGGCAAGGTTTCGTCTTCCTTTTCCGTTAGTCTCATATAGGAACGATCTGCAAAAGAAAGTTAATGGGGAATGAATTGGGAGGAATATCACTATGTAACACATTATTTGTTCCTGGGTTATAAATGTCATATCCTAATTGGTACTATCATAAAAATATATGGATATGAGTTGGAGAAGTCAACCTATATCTATATAAATAAAAATGCAATGTTCGTTTGTGGGATTAACAGAACTCAAAAACCACTGGGGGAATTGACACCAAATTTGGACAGAATACACCTAACAACCCAATGTATGTCCTTCACTCACAAAAATTGAGTTTGTCGTTTGGGAGTTGTAGTTGCTGGGATTTATAGTTCATCTATAATCAAAGAGCATTCTGAACTCCACCAATGATGGAGTTGAACCAAACTTGGCACATAGGACTCCCATGACCAACAGAAAACACTGTTTGGTGGGCACTGACCTTGAGTTTGGGAGTTGTAGTTCACCTACATCTAGAGAGCACTGTGGACTCAAACAATGATGGATCTGGACCAAACTTGGCACAAATAATCAATATGCCCAAATATAAACACAGATGGAGTTTGGGGGAAATAGATCTTGACATTTGGGAGTTGTAGTTACTGGGATTTATAGTTCCCCTACAATCAAGGAGCATTCTGAACCCCACCAACGACAAAATTGAGGCAAACTTCCCACACAGAACCCTCATGACCAACAGAAAATACTGTGTTTTCTGGTGGTCTTTGGTGACCCTTCTGACCCCCCTCTCCCCAGGGTCTTGACTTCCCAGGTTGAGAAATGCTGCCTTAAGGCTATCCAGTCCAACTCTCTTCACCAGGGCAAGAAAACATAATCAAAACCCTCCTGACAAAGGGCCAGCCAGCCATTCAGACACACATATATGCGTATGATAGATGCAGTATCAAAGATATGTGGCATGTTCCAGAGTAGGCAAGCTTGACAATGTTTACATCACCGTTTCTCTACCTGGGGTCAGGACCCCTGGGGGGGTCATGAGGTGGTGTCAGAGGGGTCGCCAAATACCCATCAGAAAGATGGAAGGTGAGCTACATCTCACCTAAATCACTGTCAATTCATCCCAAATCCCTCCAGTATGTTCTGTTGGTCATGGGGGTTCTATGTTGAAAGTTTGGCCCAATTCTATAGTTGGTGGGGTTCAAGGGACTTTGATTGTAGGTGAACTATAAATCCCAGCAACTACAACTCCCAAATACAATTTCCCCAAACTCCACCAATGTTCACATTTGGGCATATTATTTGTGCCAAGTTTGGTCCAGATCTATTATTGTTTGAGTCCACAGTGCTCTCTGGATGTAGGTGAACTACAACTCCACAACCCAAGATCAATGCCCACCAAACCCTTCCAGTATTTTCTACTTGGTCATAGGAGTTCTGTGTGCCAAGGTTGGTTCAGTTCCCATCATTAGTTGGGTTCAGAATGCTCATGGATTGTAGGTGAACTATAAATCCCAGCAAGTATAACTCCAAAATGACAACATCCATTCCCTCCAACTCCATCAGTATTCAAACTTGGGTGTATTGGGTAGGTCCAGTGAATGAAAAGACATCCTGCATATCAGATATTTACATGAAGATTCACAACAGTAGCAAAATTACAGATATGAAGTAGCAACGAAAATAATGTTATGGTTGGGGGTCACCACAACATGAGGAACTGTATTAAGGGGTCGCGGCATTAGGAAGGTTGAGAACCACTGCTCTACACTAACACTGGCAAAGAAACAGCAAGAAATACTCAGTTCTCGTGGGTTTTTTCAGGCTATATGGCCATGTTCTAGAGGCATTTCTCCTGACGTTTCGCCTGCATCTATGGCAAGCATCCTCAGAGGTGAGGTCTGCTGGAACTGGGAAAAGGGTTTATATATCTGTGGAATGACCAGGGTGAGACAAAGGGCTTTTGTAAGTTGGGCTAGGTGTGAATCTTTCAACTGACCACCTTGATTAGCATACAATGGGCTGACTGTGCCTGGAGCAAACTCTTCTTGAAAGGTGATTAGATGTCCCTGCCTGTTTTTCTCTCTGCTGTTTTTGCTGTTGCAATTTTAGAATTTTTTAATACTGGTAGCCCGATTTTAGAGAGGAAACAGGCAGGGACATCTAATTACCTTTCAAGAAGAGTTTGCTCCAGGCACAGTCAGCCCATTGTATGCTAATCAAGGTGGTCAGTTGAAAGATTCACACCTAGCCCAACTTACAAAAGCCCTTTGTCTCACCCTGGTCATTCCACAGATATATAAACCCCTTTTCCCAGTTCCAGCAGACCTCACCTCTGAGGATGCTTGCCATAGATGCAGGCGAAACGTCAGGAGAAATGCCTCTAGAACATGGTCATATAGCCCGAAAAAACCCACAAGAACTGAGTGATTCCGGCCATGAAAGCCTTCGACAAAGCAAGAAATACTGTTTACCCACAAGCATCAAGACATTACATATATTAGAAACCAAGACTTTCTCATTACTTTATGTTCCAGATCACCAGACTGGGCCACAGCAAAGCCTGGCAGGGGGCGGCTAGTATTCATATAAATATAAACATTGTTCATATAAATTGAAATATTATGCTTATATAAAATAGAATTTCTATTGGATTGTTCCTATTCTAAATGCCAGCACTATTCATCACGAAGATGGCAGGCCTTGATTCACAAATTACCACCTAAAGTGGCCTTGAAAGAGGCATTCCTAGCCTATATCCCAAGTGGAACTGCTTTGGTTCAATGCTATGGTAGCCTGAGAGTTGTAGTTGTAGTTTTAGCTCTTCCTGCCTCGTCAAAGCGGCCTAAGGCCAAGAATGCCCCGAAAAGTCCCTTCTCGGCACCCGTAGCCAAGGAAGTGAAGGCCCGAAGCCTGCCTAGATTTTTCTACCAAGTGGCTGAGGGAGAAAGCGGCTAATAGAGAGGGGAAGGGGCGGCCCGGGACTCACGCTGGGCGGCGGAGAAGGCCGCGTGTGCCAAGGCGAAGAGCCCGACCCCGACGAGCCCTTTCCACAGCGAGGCCGCCGCCATCGTCCGCCCTCCCTCCAGCAGGCAAGGATCCCAACCGCGCATGCGCACGCGGAGGTAAAGGGAAAGGGGAAAATGCGTGCTGACGCAAAAGGGGGCGGAGCCTCTTCTCGCCTTCGCTCGGCCCGCTGAGACGATACGACGCCAAGGCGCCTGCGCGGAAGCTGGGGGAAAAGAGGGAGGAGCTTAACAGGTAACAGACAGGAATGGGCGTGGTTTCTCTTAAAGGAGACAGAACCTGACATCACTTTGTTTACTTGCTCACTCCTGTTTTGAAAGCCAGATGCCATTCTGTTTACTTGATTTTTCAAAGAGTTAGCTTATTGATATGTTAATAGATTTGTTGATTTGTAATATTACAATAATAATATTATTAATAATATTGTAATATTACTAACAATATTGCATTCTAGTGGTATCGTACAATCTATATAAATAAAAATGTAATGTTCGTTTGTGATACCATCAGAACTCAAAAACCACTGGGGGAATTGACACCAAATTTGGACACAAGACACCTAACAACCCAATGTATGTCCTCCACTCAAAAAAATTGATTTTGTCATTTGGGAATTGTCGTTGCTGGGATTTATAGTTTACCTACAATCAAAGAGCATTCTGAACTCCACCAATGATGGAATTGGGCCAAACTTAGCACACAGGGCTCCCATGACCAACAGAACACACTAAAGCGCTACAATGGAGATAAATTGCAAAATGAAGCCTTGATCAAGTCGGGTGCCTTTTAACAATGGAAAGAAGACAGAACTGACAACAACAACAACAACAACAATACATCACACAGTCCTAGACACTTGGGAAGTGTTCGACTTGTGATTTATTGATACGAAATCCAGCATATATATCTCATTTGCTGTGCCATACTGTGTTTTTGTGTCAGTAAAATAATAATAAGAATTCTACACTGTAGAAAGAATGCAGTTTGACACCTCTTTAACTGCCTTTATGGAAACCTGGGATCTGTAGTTTGGTGAAGGACCAAAGTGAAAGACCTCGTAAAACTACAGCTCTCCAGCTTTCTTAGCATTGATGGCTAAAGTGGTGTCAAACTGCATAAATTCCACAGTTCAGACGCACCCAGATAATTGCTTTGAAGGCATTTGTCTTCTTGTAAAAAAAACTAAACAAACAAAACAAAGTTCTTGTGGGTTTTTTCGGGCTATATGGCCATGTTCTAGAGGCATTTCTCCTGACGTTTCGCCTGCATCTATGGCAGGCATCCTCAGAGGTGACGTCTGCTGGAGCTGGGAAAAAAGGGGTTTATATATCTGTGGAATGACCAGGGTGAGACAAAGGGCTTTTGTAAGTTGGGCTAGGTGTGGATCTTTCAACTGACCACCTTGATTAGCATACAATGGGCTGACTGTGCCTGGGGCAAACTCTTCTTGAAGGGTGATTAGATGTCCCTGCCTGTTTTTCTCTCTGCTGTTTTTGCTGTTGCAATTTTAGAATTTTTTAATACTGGTAGCCAGATTTTGTTCATTTTCATGGTTTCTTCCTTTCTGTTGAAATTGTCCACATGTCCGCAGGCGAAACGTCAGGAGAAATACCTCTAGAACATGGCCATATAGCCCGAAAAAACTCACAAGAACTTAGTGATTCCGGCCATGAAAGCCTTCGACAATACATTAAACAAAAAAAAGCAAAGAAAACCATGCATTTCTTTCTTTCTTCTGAAGGAGGAAAATATGACTTTGTGGTGGAAAAACAAGCCCTGCATTGTGCCATAATCTATGCCTTGTCACACTCCTCTCATTCTAAACAAAGCTACCTACCATTTCTTGCAGTGGGTTTCGAACTGCTTTCTGTGCAGAGGGTTCAATGGCAAACCAAAGGAATGTTACTGAAACTTAGATTAACATCTATAAATCAAATTAAGAGCAAACCTTACTTTCAAAGCAACAGTGGCAGAATGTTGTTGAAGGCTTTCATGGCCAGAATCACTGGGTTGCTGTGAGTTTTCCGGGCTGTATGACCATGTTCCAGAATCATTAGAACCATAGAGTGCGAAGAGACCTCATGGGCCATCCAGTTCAACCCCATTCGGCCAAGAAGCAGGAAAATCGCATTCAAAGCACACCCAACAGATGGCCATCCAGCTTCTGTTTAAAAGCCTCAAAAGAAGGAGCCTCCACCACACTCTGTGGCAGAGAGTTCCTCTGCTGAACAGCTCTCACAGGAAGTTCTTCCTCATGTTCAGGTGGAATCTCCTTTCTTGTAGTTTGAAGCCATTGTTCCGCATCCTAGTCTCCAGGGCAGCAGAAAACAAGCTTGCTCCCTCCTCCCTATGACTTCCTCTCACATACTTATACATGGCTATCATGTCTCCTGACATTTTGCCCACATCTATGGCAGGCATCCTCAGAGGATATGAGGTCAGTTGGAAACTAGGAAAGTGAGGTTTATATACCTGCGGAATGTCAATGTTGGGAGAAAGAACTCTAGTCTGTTCGAGGCAGGTGCAAATGTTGCAATTCTCCAACTCGATTAACATTGAATAGTCTTGCAGCTTCAAAGCCTGGTGGCTTCCTGCCTAGGGGAACCAGGACAGTAAATAAAGAGCAACATTAAAAAAGCAGGGAATTCCAGACAAGAAACAATCAGGGCCAGCTAACACCTCCTAACAAAGGGTTCCCCCAAGCAGCAATCAGTCAGGCTTTGAAGCTGCAAGGCCATTCAATGCTAATCAAGGTGTGCAACATTCACACCTGCCTCCAACAGACAAGAGTTTTTTCTTCCACCCTGGATATTCATACACATACACATACATACCCCACTTGCCTAGTTTCCAACAGATCTCTCAATCTCTGAGGATGCTTGCCATAGATGTGGGAGAAATGTACGTCAGGAGAGAATGCTTCTGGAACATGGCCAGACGGCCCGGAAAACTCTCAACAACCCAGTGGCAGAGAGAGCAAGTGACTCCAAATAGTCCAATAGTCCTGACAGCTTTTACCAGGAGCAGAAAATCCCTTTAAAGAGCCCCATTTCGGGAAATAAACTCAATTGATATTTGATGTATTTTGGGGCTGGAGACTGCAAAGGCCTTTGCAATGAATAGGGTTTAATTCAAAGGTTTCAAGCTGCAGTCTTAAGGGTCAAAATAGGCTCATGTAAATCCTTAGCTGCTGGGTAAATTGCAGTGTTTAGTCTGTTTCAGGAAAACTCTACAAAATCCAGTCTCATAAAACCAAGATCGTAACATGAACTTTGGAATATGTCTCCAGGCCAACAGCACTGCTTCTCTCTGTGTGTTTCAGAAAACATCTAGTCTTCAAAGCCTTAATAACAATAACAATAAACAACCCGGAATCCAAAATGCATCTGTTCCCAAACATTCTGGATAAGTGCTATTCGGTGTACCTGTGTAAAAGGTTTCAAAACATGTAAACATCCAACACAATCCCAAACACTTTGGGTGCCAAGCATTTAGAAAATGGGGTGCTTGTTCCGTATATGCAAATATTGTAAAACATTTAAACATCCAGAGGAATCCCAAACACTTCTGGTGCCAAGCATTTTGATCAAGCTGTTCTTGTTTTGGAATGTAAGTCCCAAAACTGGTGCTTTTCCTGCATGAAGGAAGGGGGCTAGACTGGGTGACCTTTGAGGGTCCCTCCCACCTCTAGGATCCTATAGCCCTATTATTTCTCTCCATCTAGGATTCTCTAGCCCTGTTACTTCTCTCCATCTAATCTAATGTCTATGATGGATGGTCATCTGTCGGGGGTGCTATGATGGATGGGGGGTGGGGGGTGGGGTTGGACTGGATGGTCTTTGTGGCCCATTTTAAGTCTAGGATCCCATAGGCCTATTATTTCTCTCCATCTCGGATTCTCTAGAATCATAGAATCAAAGAGTTGGAAGAGACCTCATGGGCCATCCAGTCCAACCCATTCTGCCAAGAAGCAGGAATATTGCATTCAAATCACCCCTGACAGATGGCCATCCAGCCTCTGTTTAAAAGCTTCCAAAGAAGGAGCCTCCACCACACTCCGGGGCAGAGAGTTCCACTGCTGAACGGCTCTCACAGTCAGGAAGTTCTTCCTAATGTTCAGATGGAATCTCCTCTAGTGTTAATTACATCGCATATCTCCAAGGAAGTCTATGATCTGGATGGTTTCGATCTTCGGGGTTGCTATGATGGATCTTTACAAGTAGCCAGACAAAGACCAAGGCCTTAAGCCATCACATTGACCAGGTCAATGAAAACCAATGGTCTACCAGACAGCGGAGCTGGAATCATACTGCCACACTAGGGAAGAGTTTCTCATTTGCTCATTCATTCACATTCCATTACAATCTTTTAATGCAGTGGTTCTCAACCTTCCTAATGCCACGACCCCTTAATACAGTTCCTCATGTTGTGGTGACCCCCAACCATAACATTATTTTAGTTGCTACTTCATAACTGTAATTTTGCTACTGTTATGAATCGTAATGTAAATATCTGATATGCAGGATGTATTTTCATTCACTGGACCAAATTTGGCACAAATACCCAATATGCCCAAATTTGAATACTGGTGGGATTGCGGGAGGGTATTGATTTTGTCCTGTGGGAGTTGTAGTTGCTGGGATTTATAGTTAACCTACAATCACAGAGCATTCTGAACTCCACCAACAATGGAATTGAACCAAACTTGGCACACAGAACTCCCATGACCAAGTAGAAAATACTGGAAGGGTTTGGTAGGCATTGACCTTGAGTTTTGAGAGTTGTAGTTCACCTACATCCAGAGAGCACTGTGGACTCAAACAATGATGGATCTGGATCAAACTTGGCACGAATTCTCAATATGCCCAAATATGAACACTGGTGGAGTGTGGGGAAAGTAGACCTTGACCTTTGAGAGTTGTAGTTACTGGGATTTATAGTTCACCTACAATCAAAGAGCATTCTGAACTCCACCAACAATGGAATTGAACCAAACTTGGCACACAGAACTCCCATGACCAACAGAAAATGCTGGAAGCGTTTGGTGGGCATTGGCCTTGAGTTTTGGAGTTGTAGTTCACCTACATACAGACAGCACTGTAGACACAAACAATAATAGATCTGGACCAAACTTGACATGGATACTCAATACGCTCAAATGTGGATACTGGTGGAGTTCGGGGAAAATAGACGTTGGCATTTGGGAGCTGTAGTTGCTGGGATTTATAGTTCATCTACAATCAAAGAGCATTCTGTACGCCACCAACAATAGAATTGGGCCAAACTTTCAACACAGAACCCCCATAACCAACAGAACGTACTGGAGGGATTTGGGATGAATTGACTGTGATTTAGGGGAGATGTAGTTCACCTTCCACCTTTCTGATGGCTATTTGGCGACCCCTCTGACAACCCCTCACGACCCCCCCCAGGGGTCCCAACCCCCACTTCTCTAGCCCTTTTTGTTTCTCTCCATGTAATCGAATGCCTATGATGTGAGATGGCCATCTGCTGGGAGGGCTTGGACGATGCTTTCCCTGCATGGAGGCAGAAGGGGGTTGGAGTGGATGGCCTTTGGGGGTCCCCTTTAATTCTAGGATCCTGTGGCCTTAATATTTCTCTCCATCTAATCTAATGCCTGTGAGGCTGGATGGCCACCTGTCAGGGGTGCTTTGATGGTGCTTTCCCTGCATGGAGGCAGAAGGGGGTTGGGCTGGATGGCCTTTGGGGGTCCCTTTTAACTCTAGGATCTGATTGCCTTATTATTTCTCTCCACCTGGGATTCTCTAGCCCTGTTACTTCTCTCCATCTAATCTAATGTCTGTGAGGCTGGATGGCCATCTGTTGGGTGGGCTTGGATGGTGCTTGGCAGAAGGGGGTTGGGCTGGATGGCCTTTGGGGGTCCCCTTTAACTCTAGGATCCTGTGGCCTTATTATTTCTCTCCATTCAATCTAATGTCTGTGAGGCTGGATGGCCATCTGTTGGGTGGGCTTGGATGGTGCTTGGCAGAAGGGGGTTGGGCTGGATGGCCTTTGGGGGTCCCCTTTAACTCTAGGATCCTGTGGCCTTATTATTTCTCTCCATTCAATCTAATGTCTGTGAGGCTGGATGGCCATCTGTTGGGTGGGCTTGGATGGTGCTTGGCAGAAGGGGGTTGGGCTGGATGGCCTTTGGGGGTCCCCTTTAACTCTAGGATCCTGTGGCCTTATTATTTCTCTCCATTCAATCTAATGTCTGTGAGGCTGGATGGCCATCTGTTGGGTGGGCTTGGATGGTGCTTGGCAGAAGGGGGTTGGGCTGGATGGCCTTTGGGGGTCCCCTTTAACTCTAGGATCCTGTGGCCTTATTATTTCTCTCCATTCAATCTAATGTCTGTGAGGCTGGATGGCCATCTGTTGGGTGGGCTTGGATGGTGCTTGGCAGAAGGGGGTTGGGCTGGATGGCCTTTGGGGGTCCCCTTTAACTCTAGGATCCTGTGGCCTTATTATTTCTCTCCATTCAATCTAATGTCTGTGAGGCTGGATGGCCATCTGTTGGGTGGGCTTGGATGGTGCTTGGCAGAAGGGGGTTGGGCTGGATGGCCTTTGGGGGTCCCCTTTAACTCTAGGATCCTGTGGCCTTATTATTTCTCTCCATTCAATCTAATGTCTGTGAGGCTGGATGGCCATCTGTTGGGTGGGCTTGGATGGTGCTTGGCAGAAGGGGGTTGGGCTGGATGGCCTTTGGGGGTCCCCTTTAACTCTAGGATCCTGTGGCCTTATTATTTCTCTCCATTCAATCTAATGTCTGTGAGGCTGGATGGCCATCTGTTGGGTGGGCTTGGATGGTGCTTGGCAGAAGGGGGTTGGACTGGATGGCCTTTGGGGGTCCCCTTTAACTCTAGGATCCTGTGGCCTTATTATTTCTCTCCATTCAATCTAATGTCTGTGAGGCTGGATGGCCATCTGTTGGGTGGGCTTGGATGGTGCTTGGCAGAAGGGGGTTGGACTGGATGGCCTTTGGGGGTCCCCTTTAACTCTAGGATCCTGTGGCCTTATTATTTCTCTCCATTCAATCTAATGTCTGTGAGGCTGGATGGCCATCTGTTGGGTGGGCTTGGATGGTGCTTGGCAGAAGGGGGTTGGGCTGGATGGCCTTTGGGGGTCCCCTTTAACTCTAGGATCCTGTGGCCTTATTATTTCTCTCCATTCAATCTAATGTCTGTGAGGCTGGATGGCCATCTGTTGGGTGGGCTTGGATGGTGCTTGGCAGAAGGGGGTTGGGCTGGATGGCCTTTGGGGGTCCCCTTTAACTCTAGGATCCTGTGGCCTTATTATTTCTCTCCATTCAATCTAATGTCTGTGAGGCTGGATGGCCATCTGTTGGGTGGGCTTGGATGGTGCTTGGCAGAAGGGGGTTGGGCTGGATGGCCTTTGGGGGTCCCCTTTAACTCTAGGATCCTGTGGCCTTATTATTTCTCTCCATTCAATCTAATGTCTGTGAGGCTGGATGGCCATCTGTTGGGTGGGCTTGGATGGTGCTTGGCAGAAGGGGGTTGGGCTGGATGGCCTTTGGGGGTCCCTTCCAACCCTGGGAGAGCTTGCTTCCCTTCTCCCCAGCCTTGAGGAGGAGGAGGAAGTGGAGGAAGAGGAGGAGCCAGGAGGAGGAGGAGGAGGAGGCGCAGCAGCCATCGCTGTATCCAGAGCCCGAGCCCTAGCCATGGCCTTGCTTTGGGGCCAGGGTCCTGCCGCCCCCCGGAGGGCTCCCCCTTTGGCGTCGGGGCTGCCCCTGCTGGAGCTGCTGCTGCTCTTGGGGGGCTGCGGGGGGTCCGGCTCGGGCCCCCCGGTGGCCCTGGAGGAGGAGATCGTGTCGGAGAAGGCGGCCGAGGCCAGCCACCGGCAGGACAGCGCCAACCTGCTCATCTTCATCCTCCTCCTCACCCTCACCATCCTCACCATCTGGCTCTTCAAGCACCGACGCGCACGCTTCCTCCACGAGACGGGCCTCGCCATGATCTACGGTGGGTCCAAAGGGGCGTGGGGGGGGGGGGGGGAGGGCTCCTTCTGGGTCTGGACTCCTCCAGACCCAGAAGGACCCTCCCATCACCTTGCAGAGGCCTTCTCCAAAAGCTCTGGGCACCAACAAGGGGTTGGGAGTCTTATACTACTACTACTACTACTACTAATGATGATGATAATACTTGGTCCAGATCTATTATCAGCTGGATTCAGTGTTCTATGGATAAGGGTGAACTACAACTCCCATCACCTCGCAGAGGCCTCCTCCAAAAGCTCTGGGCACCAACAACAGGTTGGGAGTCTTATACTAATAATACTAATATATACCAATACTACTACTACTACTAATAATAATAATAAGATCTGTCATCAACTGGGTTGAGTGTTTTCTGGATAAGGGTGAACTACTAATACTACTTGGTCCAGATCTGTTATCAGCTCGGTTCAGTGTTCTCTGGACAAGGGTGAACTACTAATACTACTTGGTCCAGATCTGTTATCAGCTCGGTTGAGTGTTCTCTGGATAAGGGTGAACTACTAATACTACTTGGTCCAGATCTGTTATCAGCTCGGTTCAGTGTTCTCTGGACAAGGGTGAACTACTAATACTACTTGGTCCAGATCTGTTATCAGCTCGGTTGAGTGTTCTCTGGATAAGGGTGAACTACTAATACTACTTGGTCCAGATCTGTTATCAGCTCGGTTCAGTGTTCTCTGGACAAGGGTGAACTACTAATACTACTTGGTCCAGATCTGTTATCAGCTCGGTTGAGTGTTCTCTGGATAAGGGTGAACTACTAATACTACTTGGTCCAGATCTGTTATCAGCTCGGTTCAGTGTTCTCTGGACAAGGGTGAACTACTAATACTACTTGGTCCAGATCTGTTATCAGCTCGGTTGAGTGTTCTCTGGATAAGGGTGAACTACTAATACTACTTGGTCCAGATCTGTTATCAGCTCGGTTCAGTGTTCTCTGGACAAGGGTGAACTACTAATACTACTTGGTCCAGATCTGTTATCAGCTCGGTTGAGTGTTCTCTGGATAAGGGTGAACTACTAATACTACTTGGTCCAGATCTGTTATCAGCTCGGTTCAGTGTTCTCTGGACAAGGGTGAACTACCATCACCTTGCAGAGGCCTTCTCCAAAAGCTCTGGGCACCAACAAGGGGTTGGGAGTCTTATACTAATAATAATAATACTTGGTCCAGATCTGTTATCAGCTCGATTCAGTGTTCTCTGGATAAGGGTGAACTACCCTCCCACCACCTTGCAGAGGCCTTCTCCAAAAGCTCTGGGCACCAACAAAGGGTTGGGAGTCCTATACTAATAATACTAATGTATACTAATACTAATAATACTAATATATACTAATAGTACTATTACTAATAATAAGATCTGTCATCAGCTGGGTTGAGTGTTCTCTGGATAAGGGTGAACTACTAATACTACTTGGTCCAGATCTGTTATCAGCTCGGTTGAGTGTTCTCTGGACAAGGGTGAACTACCTTCCCATCACCCTGCAGAGGCCTTCTCCAAAAGCTCGGGGCACCAACAAGGGGTTGGGAGTCTAATACTACTACTACTACTACTACTAATAATAATAATAATACTTGGTCCAGATCTGTTATCAGCTCGATTCAGTGTTCTCTGGATAAGGGTGAACTACCCTCCCACCACCTTGCAGAGGCCTTCTCCAAAAGCTCTGGGCAGCAACAAGGGGTTGGGAGTCTTATACTAATACTAATACTAATACTAATACTAATAATACTTGGTCCAGATCTGTTATCAGCTGGGTTCAGTGGGTTGGGAGTCTAATACTAATACTAATATGGAGCCCCTGGTGGCACAGTGGGTTAAACCTCTGTGCCGGCAGGACTGAAGACCGACAGGTCGCAGGTTCAAATCCAGGGAGAGGCGGATGAGCTCCCTCTATCAGCTCCAGCTCCCCGTTGCGGGGACATGAGAGAAGCCTCCCACAAGGATGATAAAACATCAAATCATCCGGGCGTCCCCTGGGCAATGTCCTTGCAGACGGCCAATTCTCTCACAACAGGAGCGTCACTCTTGACACGACCAAAACTAATACTAATAATACTTGGTCCAGATCTGTTATCAGCTGGGTTCAGTGTTCTCTGGATAAGGATGAACTACCCTCCCATCACCTTGCAGAGGCCTTCTCCAAAAGCTTTGGGCACCAACAAGGGATTGGGAGTCTTATACTAATACTAATACTACTAATAATAAGATCTGTCATCAGCTGGGTTCAGTGTTCTCTGGACAAGGGGGAACTACCCTCCCACCACCTTGCAGAGGCCTTCTCCAAAAGCTCTGGGCACCCACAAGGGGTTGGGAGTCTAATACTAATACTAATAATACTTGGTCCAGATCTGTTATCAGCTGGGTCCGGTATTCTCTGGATAAGGGTGAGCTTTGGTTACATCCCGTTTAGATTACTGCAACTCTCTCTATGTGGGGTTGCCTTTGAAGACTGCCTGGAAGCTCCAATTAGTCCAACGTGTGGCAGCCAGATTGCTAACAAGAGCGGGGTACAGGGAGCATACTACTCCTCTGTTGCGCCAGCTCCACTGGCTGCCAGTCAGCTTCCGAGCACTATTCAAAGTGCTGCTGTTAACCTATAAAGCCCTAAACGACTCTGGCCCAGTTTACCTGTCCGAACGTATTCTCCCCTATGAACCATCAAAATTGCTAAGATCGTCTGGAGGGGCCCTGCTCTTGGTCCCACCGGCCTCACAATCGCGTCTGGTGGGGACGAGGGACAGGGCCTTCTCGGTGGTGGCCCCTCGACTCTGGAATTCCCTTTCACTGGAGATCGGAACAGCCCCCTCTATCTTGACGTTCAGAAAATCCCATGATAAGGTTAATGTGATGGGTAATATCTTTGATGATTTTGTGTATTAAACAAAGTTTGTTTACATTGAAGCATAAGGTTGCTATAGGATTCCAAACCTTTGTGCGCCATTTATTAATCACCTTTGGGGACATCTTTGCTCAGCAGTGTCTTGATGGTTAACTCCATTCATCTTCAGGGAACAATGCTACAAAACGGAGAACAGGAAGGAAGGAAGGAATAGAATAGAACAGAACAGAATAAGGATGCCTTTACCAGCCATTATCTGGTACCCACAGCATATTTGGTATAGTTGTGTTCAGAAATAGATAATAATAATAATAATAATAATAATAATAATAATAATAATAATAATATTTATTTATAGTCCGCTACCATTTCCCCAAGGGACTCGGTGCGGCTTACATGAGGCCGAGCCCACAACACATCAATAATAAAACAAAAGCAAACAAACAATACAAAACAGTTAAAATACATCTCATAAACAAAAATAAAATATAAGCATTACAGTAACACAACAAGCATTTAAAACCTATGGCTGGGCCAAATGTAAAATTAAAATTAAAAAAAAAAATGCCGGGCGTGAGCAAGGTAGGATATAGCTGCGCCTGTACCCTGGGAAGTCTGACTTGGCCGCAGTAGTCCACACTCTGGATACATCCCGTTTAGACTACTGCAACGCTCTCTACGTGGGGTTGCCTTTGAAGACGGCTCGGAAGCTCCAACTAGTCCAACGCTTGGCAGCCATGATTTTAACAGGAGCGGAGCGCAGGGAGCATACAACCCCCCTGTTGCGCCAACTCCACTGGCTACCGATCTGCTACCGGGCTGAATTCAAAGTGCTGGCGTTGGCCTTTAAAGCCCTAAACGGTTCCGGCCCAAGCTACCTATCTGACCGCATCTCTGCCTATGAACCCACCAGGACATTGAGATCTTCCGGGGAGACCCTGCTCTTGATCCCGCCTGCTTCTCAAGCTCGGCTGGCGGGGACGAGAGATAGGGCCTTCTCGGTGGTGGCTCCTCGGCTGTGGAACGCCCTTCCTACGGACATTAGACTAGCACCATCTCTAATGGTATTCCGCAAAAAAGTGAAGACCTGGCTGTTTGAGCAGGCGTTCAAATAATTAGTGCAATGATTGGTTAATGAACACTGGAATGGAACAATGGATGACGAATCTGGAACATGTTTTTGATGATGAGTCGATAATGAATGGTTATTGTAGTAATTGTTTATTAATTGTGTAATGTGTTAGGTTGTTAACTGTTTTTATACTGTTGCATTGAATTTTTGCTGTTTCTTGTTGTTGTGAACCGCTGTGAGTCGCCTTCGGGCTGAGAACAGCGGTATATAAGTAAGGTAAATAATAATAATAATAATAATAATAATAATAATAATAATAATAATAATAATAACGGGGATGGATATTTTCGAAGGGGATAGGGCATGCAAATCAATCAATCCTAAATGAATAATAAAGTGCATTTTGAGGGTATATTGCTGAGAAATCCATTATTCTGGAAAGGCACGTTTTCAGGCTCCTCCTAAAAATTGCCAGAGTTGGGGCATCCCGGATGTCCTTGGGAAGTGAGTTCCAGAGTCGAGGGGCCACCACCGAAAAAGCCCTCTCCCTCGTCCCCACCAATCATGCCTGCGATGGAGGTGGGAGCGTGAGCAGGGCCTCTCCAGATGATCGAAAAGATCGTGTGGGTTACACAGAGATGTGATCAGGTAGGTAGGCAGGTCCCAAACTGTTCAGGGCTTTGTAGGTAAGAATCTGCACCTTGAATTAATCTAACACCTTTGGATGTTAAATATGTTTCCTGGGTTAAGAAGACAGTGAAACTCTGAAAGCCAAAAAGTGGAAAACAATGGAAGTACCTTCCATCTATAAAGGGATTGGCAACTAAAATAGCAAGAGTAATAATAATAATAATAATAATAATAATAATAATATTTATTTATCGTGTCATCAGCAACCATACCATTGTATTACAATTCTAACAGAACAAAACAAACACACAGATTAAAAAGAAAAAGAAAAAAAACACACAGATTTTGCAAACTTGGTAGTTGGTTAAATGTCCTTTGACCAAACATACAGATTTTGCAAACTTGGTAGTTGGTTAAAT